GAACTGAGGGCAATTAAGGCTCAAGTCAAGTAAATATGACGATGCCCAGGAGTAAATATTATTTGGAGTCAGTTAACTGCCATGTTCCAAAAGCATAGCATGGACTGCCTTCCTGTGTCTATACAAAAAGGACATGATTCTAAAATAAACTATGCAAAAGACATAAAGGAAAGAGAAAAGCAAATTTCACTTACAACTACAAAATCCAGAGCCCTCCGAGTATTTGACTTTACAAGTTACAGGATCCGATTCGGGGATACAAGTGGTTAACAGGGAAGAGGAGCACAAAGGAGAAGTTGAAGATAAACCCAGAGGATTGTTGAGTACTGATGGAATTGTGTGTGCCTTGGGAGCACTGTGGTGGAAGTAACTCAGTTAACCTAAGCTCCCCGCGGGGAGAGTCACACCTATTTAAAGTCAAACCTAAAATGCTTAGAACTATCCCCAGTAGGCCACTGCCCAGTGTTTCTTCTCCCGCCCCTTCCTTCTCTCGGGCAAGATGGGGTTGAGAGGCCAGGTCAGTCACAGGCCGGCTGTGGGTCATTAGGGGTCACACATCCCACCCCACCCACTCTTTAGTGGCAGTGCCATGCACCAGCTCATCACGCCTCACACCTACAGTTCCCCGTGGTGGTACCAGCTGGGGTCACAGCCGGGCCCATACAGATGCACTCGAGAGATGCACTCTGCCTTGTGGTCACCATGGTCGCTGTTTTGCAGCACCTGGACACACCTATCACTTGTGGTATGGGTGAGGGAGGCAGAGCTGGCGGGACTCTGCCCACGTGGGGCTCCGGGGATTCGACCTCATGACCATATGCTTACAAAGCAGGTGCCTCCAGGCCACTGTGGTCCCCCTCCGGGCCCTCACCACCTAGAATTTGAAAATAACAATACTAAAGTCCGAGGAGACGGCCTAGCAAGCACTTAAGAGCTAGCTGGGGATGGTGTTAAAATTTTAAGATACTGAAGTGATGAAACGCTAAAGTGATAATTTAGTCACAGAGGCAAGAGGAAAATGGCACCTTGTAACGTGTGTTTAATGGGCTTTCCATGAGTGGGAAGCGGAAAGAATGCTGAGGAGCAACCCCAAAATACTTGGGGTGAAGAAATGGAGTGTGGAAGGCAGGAGTCCTCTGTGTGAGAGGCAGGAAACGGGAGAGACGGCCGGCGACCAGCCCTGTGTCCATCTCAATGGCGGCTCAGGGGGATTCTCCAGCCTCTGCAGACCAGCAGTGAGCTGGGCAGAGTTGCTTCTGGAAGACAGTAGGACCTATGTCCTTCCTGTCCAGAGTCACTGTCCTTATGGTGCTGCCAGCATCATGTTAATGAGGAAGGTGGAATTTAAGGAATTTTCGGCCAGAGATCTTGTCCAGGGCTTAGGGCACTCAGCCTAGCCGGTTCCATCCCAGACACCACATGGTGCCACAGGAGCCAGGAGTTACACAGGACATGGCCAGGTATGCCCCCCACCCCCCAAAACACACACACACACACCCCTTTTGTCCAGATCTGTGATGATGAAGAGTGTCCTGATGGACTGCCATCTCTGAAGGGAGCCTGCTAAAGCAGTTTCTCAACTGCGCACCCCCAGGTACCCCACAGGTGAAAATCACATAAGTGGGAGGGCACGTCTTGAAACCAGTGGGATGACTGGTAGCATGGAGGGGAGAGGGGAACACAAAGCCAGAGAGGTCCTAGTGAAAGAGTGTTAGGGACACAGCTGGCGGGGGGGGGGGGGGGGGGGGTTGAGGACATGGATGAAGGGGGAGTGTGTTGGGGCACCTCTAAATGGGGGGAGCGTGTTGGGGGCATGACTGACGGTGCATTTCGGGGAGAGCTGAACTCAGGCAGAAGAAAGAAATCACATCCAAGAAGGACAGAGTAAGACACCAGCCAAGATGCCGGTGAATAATTACCAGCCATAGTCTTGGTATAGAATCGTTAACTCGGTGGCCAAGGATGTGGCCATGGGCAGAGCAGAGCGTGGTCAGGCGCAACTGAGTTCGCACCGCACTCTCCGCGTGCCCAACGTTCCTCGTCCCCTTCTCAGTGAACGCAGCAGTGGGGAAGGGTGTAAAAACACTCACTCTGCCCCAAGCATGTAGGCCACGATTCTACAGGTTAAACTTCTGTAGGTTCCACGCGCCCAGTGAGCACAAAGCCCAGAGGCCCAGAGGACGCCTCCCTGCCGGCTGCCAGCCCAGCAACCCGGCGTCTCCCCACTGCCTTGGAAATGCTGTCATGGTGCCCCTGGCGTTTCCGAGGTCTCGTCAGGCCTCCTCATCCTCCAGCCACCCTGTGGACCCCGGGGCCATGTTCCTTGTGTCATGTTCCATCTGGGGGAAGGCTGTGCCTCGTGGGCAGGTGTAAGTTACTTCCTCGGACCCCACCTTCATGCAGGTGGTCCCCGCCCGGCCTCTCCACACTGAAGCTGCTTGTCAGCAGCTGCATTTCCTGTTTCAAGGCGTGTAAGGGCCTCTCAGTAGCTGCAGAGAACATTACAGCCACACTTTGGGGTAGATTCTCGATGGTTTTGACCAGCCATCATACTGCTGGGAACAAGCAGTGAGACAGACCTTCTGATTTATTGCTGATGACTCTGTAAAAAGGCACAGGCTTTTGGGGAGAGCGACTTGGCAGCAGATTTCAAGAGCCATAAAATGATCATATTTTTGACCTAGTTAATGCCACTTCTGGGAATCCTCTGAAGCCGAGGTCCAGCATGGAAAAAGCCGTCAGCACGAACGGTCTCACAGCCCCGGCGTCTGTGATGGGGCCGTGGGGTGCTGGGCAGTGCTGGAGCCCATGAGGGCAGAGTCACTGGAGCCCATGAGGGCAGAGTCACTGGGACAGTCCAGAGCACAGACTGACACGGGCAAAGAAACCAGAGCCGCCTTTTTTTTTTTCTTTTAGAGCTGGGGATCAAACCCAGGACCAAACATTCACGCTATATGTGCCACCACTGAGTCATATCCTGCCCTCCTCTTTTTAGGGGGAGGGGGCAAACTTGGCAGTACACAGGGCTTACTCCTCACTCTGAGTCCTGGGATCACTCCTGACCAGGCTCAGGGGACCCCGTGTGGTGTGTAGCGCCAGGATAGACATCTTAACCCCTGCACCATCTCTCTCACCCCCCTAATCATACTAAATTTTGTTGTTAGTTTTGGGGCCACACACAGTGGGTGCATCAGGGCAGCGGCAGGATTTGAACTCAGCTCTGCGTGCAAAGCATGTGATCTGGCTGTTCAGCTATTGCCGGCCCTCATGTTGAATTTTATTGAGGGTTTGTTTGGGGGGGGGCTTTTTTGTTTGTTTGTTTTGGGGTCACACCAGGCAATGCTCAGAGGTTACTCTAGGCTGTGCACTCAGGAGTTACTCCTGTCAGTGCTCAGGGAATGATATGGGATGCCAGGGATCGAACCCAGGTCAACCTCACACATGGCAAATGCCCTCCCTGCTGTGCTATTGCTCCGGCCCATAATCTTAGATTTTAAAAAGCAGCCCCTAAGCTGTACATGCTCTAACATGGCACTCTTACAAGGAAAAAAAAATGGGGTCATAAAAATGATCATGGACACAGGAGGGATAGAAAAGAGGGAAGGCACTTGCCTTGCACACGGCTGCCCTGGGTTTGTTCCCCAGCATCCCATATAGCCCCCCACCTCCCTCTAGAAGTGATCCCCGAGTGCAGAACCCTGAGCACTACCACATGTCCCCCCCCATCCCAAAATAAAAAGATTCGGGGTAATTTCTTTTTAGTCTTTGTAATGAAGCTTCATTTCTGACTTTAAAGCCATGGATTCCTGCACCGTCCCTTCAGCCTCTCTAGGCTATGAACTGCATGATGGGGGCCAGAGAGATAGTACATCAGGTAGGGCGTTTGCCTGGCACGTGGCTAACCCAGGTTCAATTCCCGGAATCCCATATGATTCCCCAAGCACCTCCAGGAGTAATTCCTGAGTGCAGAGCCAGGAGTAACCCCTGTGCATAGCTGGGTGTGGCCCAAAAAATAAAAAATTAATAAATGAAAGAAAGAAACATAAAATAGACTGTGTGGTGGTTGCAGGCAGCAAGCCCAGGAGGGGCTAGGGGTGAGACCCCCACCTGTGCCTCATGCTGGCCCTGGGGGAGGCATCCCATGTCCAGCTGGCACAGTTTCCCCACAAGTGAGCAGTCTCGGAAGTTCCCCAGGGTACCCCTCAGTGCCCTTCGCAGACAAGCGGCTCTAGCCATGTGACTCAGGAAACTCAGGCATGGGGTGGGAAGGACGGCAGAGGGGTCGAGGCGCGTGGCCTGCATTTGAACCGTGCACACGCTCCATGAATCCCTGGTACCAAGCACAGAGCCACGAGGAGCCCCTGAGCTCCTCGGGGTTGTGGCCCCAAACACAAAAATGGAAGCAGCCCTCACTGCCTGGAGGAAGCCACAGGAATGGGTGAGGCAGCAGAGCACCGTTCCCCAGGCTCAGCCCTGACCAGTGGACATTCTGGGCTCCAGGTTCCTGAGTGCGGGTGTCCCCTCCTGCGCAGCCTTTGGAGCTGACCAGCTGAGCAGGGGGCCCAGGGACCCTTCCCAGGTGTCCACTCTCTGCCTATTGTCACTGATCTGCCAGGAGGGAAGCCAAGTACAGGGCCCAGAGTAACGCCCTGATCAGACCGGCCAACAGCTCCAGAGGCAGCGCTGGGTGTCCTGGGAAAGGGAGGTGCCCGTGGGTGGGGATCAGGGGGAACGCGGGTGGCGGGAGCCTGGAAACTTCCAGATGGACTGGTGACGGACCCTCCCAAACTCTGCCTGCCTGGGATACAGCATGGCCCCTGCAAACACTTGGGACTTGTCAGTCTGGGAGAATTCCTGAGTGGCTGGGGATGAGGTGCCCAGATGAAGGCCATGGAGAAGGCCCATGGCGCTGACCCCCTCTCCTTGGCAGAATGGCAGGGGGGAGGGGGCCTCCATCTAAACCGCCTGCCGCTAAGGCTGCTTTCTCCCCTTTCTTTCAGTATTGCCTGTCGGGGCACCCGACGCTACCATGCAACGTGCTCAAGTTCAAGTCCACCACCATCATGCTGGACTGCGGCCTCGACATGACGTCCACCCTCAACTTCCTCCCGCTGCCGCTTGTGCAGAGGTATGCACTGGGGGGCTGCAGGCAGCTGCGGAGAGCCCAGCCTTCGTATGTCTTCTTTGGTTCACTTTGTTCTCTTAAAAGTATTCTTCATCATCAAAATCGTTTCCTCTGGCCGGGTGGATGGAAAGTGTCATATTGATTTATTGATTGACTTTTTTTTTTTTTGGACGTCCCAAGCAGTTCTTGCTCGGAGGACCAGGGCTTACTCCAGATAGGACTTGGCCAGCTGAGTGGGCCCGTGGGTTCTGGGCGGGGGAGAGGGGACGGGGGTGCGCCGGGGCCACACTCCGTGGTGCTCGGGGTCCCGTGTGGCGAGGGGCTCAGCCTCTGGCTCGTGCGCTGTGCACTGCCTCTAGCCCTGGAGTATGTTGATTTGCCTTCTGTATTGGCAGCTTCTTCTGAAAACGTTTTTGCTGCCACTCAGGATGTGTGGAGCCGCGCGTACATGTCATTTTTCTTGCTAGTTCATGCAAGAGGTGATAAAGGGTCAGCTGGTGATTCCAGAAAGTCACTTGGGGGCCCACACCCAGCTGTGCTCAGAGATCACACCTGTCGGTGCCGGGGGCCATGGGCAGCGCCAGGGATGGAAAACCTGAACCAGCTGTGTGCAGGGTCAGGGCCCTCCCCACTGGACTCTTTCCAGTCCATAATCTGACTTCTCGAACCACGTAACGGCCTGTGTAGGGGCCGCCCCCTTAGACCCTGACATCTCTCTGTGAGAAGCGTTTGTGCGTGTCCGTGCTGGAAGCTTGTGGGATGTAGGAAGCACGGAAGCATGTAGGTCAATAGACTTGTGCTCTCTCCCAGGCCTGCCTCGGCATGGCTTGCACTTACAGACAACATTAGGACCCCGCTCTCCCAGCTCATAAGAAAGTTGTGCCACTGACCAACAGGAGACAGGAAAGGTGTCTAGGCAGACTTAAGAGCGTTCATGCCGGAGTGACAGTACAGCAGGGCAGCGCTGGCCTCGCATGAAGCCAACCTAGATTCGATCTTCTGGATCCCGTATGTCCCCCGAGCACCACCGGGAGTAATTTCTGAGCACAGAGCCAGGAGGAACCCCTGAGCACTTCCAGGTGTGGCCCAAAGCCCCACCCCTACCACCCAAAAGAGACCTCTGACGTAGAGCAAGCTGGTTGAGGCACCTGACCTCATGGATCTTAGTCTCCTAGAGACAGCAGCATGTGCCATGATCATTCACATGAGCCATCTAGGAGAGGAAAAAAAATAAGGATTAAAAATCAGTCATGGGGTGTTTTTATTTTTTTCTGAGCTAAAGGATACAATAAGGTGATTGGGACAAGAGCAAAGATCATTCTGGGTAACATTTCATGCAGATTTGATGAATTCCACTTCTAGGCACACCCAGAACTTAGAAATGCCCTTCGCAGTCCCAGATTGACCTCCCAAACGATACAGAAGTTACGGCCCAGGGACCAATGGCATCACAAATAGATCTCAGCCAAGACGACAGGTTCTTCCCTATTCGGGAATGCGGGATTTCGAAAGTATTTCCCTGCTTACTCCCAAAGATGGACATGTCCATTCTGGTGGTGTTTACTCAGCCCTGCGCTGTAACAAACAGGAGCGAGGCTTTCCCTTCGCTCCTGGAACCTTCTCTCTCCGCCCTGCTCGGTTCTGCCTCCCTGCCCTGGGCTTTCTCTCTGAGGGAAGCGGCACCCCCGTGGCTGTCTGAAGTGTCCTTTTCGGCTCAGGCCGCGGGAGGACTCCTGTCCATCCCCTTGGCCCCCCACCTCGTCCTGCTCCATTTCCCTCACAGCTCTGGTCGCTTCACCGTCTGTCTCTCTTTCCCTGAGGGTGGGTTTCAGGAGTGCAGAATTTTGTCCATCTCCCCGTGTCCCCCGTGTCCCAGCAGCCCTTGCTGACTGTCCCACCCCTTCTCACCCTCTCCGCCCTTTGGCCCATTGGAATCTTTGCTTCATCTTGAACCATTCCTCTCACTCGGTCTTTCCCACGTAGATTTGGTCAATGTCTGTTTGTTTGTGACCACTCCAGGCAGTGCTCAGGGATCCCTCCTGGCGGGCTCACTTGGGGGACCCTCTGCAGACCAGGGCCAAACCCCGGTCAGCCACGTGCAAGGCCAGTGCCCTGCGTGCTGGACTATCACTCCAACCCTGACGTTCAGTCATTTCTAGCCTAAAATTTAAAAAATGACACTCGGGGCTGGAGCAATAGCACAGCAGGTGGGGCGTTTGCCTTGCACACAGCCAACCTAGGTTCGATTCCCAGCATCCCATGTGGTTCCCTGAGCACCGCCAAAAGTAATTCCAGAGTGCATGAACCAGGTGTAACTCCTGTGCATCGCCAGGTGTGACCCAAAAAGAAAAAAAAAATGACACTCTTCACTCGGTCCCATGTCCCCTCCCAGCCTGTGCCCAGCCCCAGCCCGCAGGGGAACATCCCCCAGTGACCCGCGTGTCTAGCTGCATCCTGCCCCACCTTCCTTCCGCCTCTTCCCTCTCTGTCTGCTGTGGGGATTCCCCTGACCACCTGCCACATGCCATAATTCTTCCCCATCGGCTGCTTGGCCATGGTGCCCCGAGGCCAGAGCTCTGATACCCAGGACAGATGCGCATCCAGTACCGATTCTCCAAGTTCCCAAGCCGTAGCCCCAGCTCCAAGCTCAGCTCTCCATCGGGGCAGTGTGTGTGTGTGTGTGTGTGTGTGTGTGTGTGTGTGTGTGTGTGAAAGCTTTGCTTTCAGAATCATGCCAAAACTCGGCATGTCCCAGTGTTTGAAGGGGGCATGCCTGGGTCACCCTCGAGTCTAAGGAGGAGAAGGAAAGAAACCGAGTCGGGGAGAAGAAGGATGGATGAGAAGCAGCAGGGGACAGGGGATTCAGGTCCATCCGAGATGTTCAGAAGTGATGGAGCCAAATGTCCCAGCCCCAGACCTGCACAACCAGCCCTAAAAAGGTGCCTGGGGCTGGAGCAATAGCACAGCAGGTAGGCCGTTTGCCTTGCAGCGGCCGACCGGGGTTCGATTCCCAGCATCCCATATGGTCCCCGAGCACTGCCAGGAGTGATTCCTGAGTGCAAAGCCAGGAGTAACCCCTTAGCTTCACCGGGTGTGACCCAAAAAGAAAAAAAAAAGGTGCCTGGCAAGAGGAGGGAACTTGGGACACTGGGGAGGGATCAAGGCTGGAACATTGTGTGTCTAAAACCCGGCTGGGAATACTTCTGTAAATCATGGTGCATTAACAACAAGATTCTTTTAAAACTCAGCATGTCCCAGGCGGGATTCACATGGAGGGTTGCCCCTGCCCCATCTGACAGGGTCCCTGTTCATGCGAGGGACTCCAGGGAAGGACCCCAAAACCTGGAGGCGACTTGGCCTTTTTCTTGCTCCCCCATGAGCAGCCTTTCTCTTCCTTAACAGTGGCCCTAGAGGGGTTAGAGTGATAATACAGTGGGGAGGGCATTTGCCTTGCGCACAGCCAACCCGGGTTCAATTCCCAGCATCCCATATGGTCCTCCGAGCACCACCAGGAGTAATTCCTGAGTGCAAAGCCAGGAGGAAGCACTGTGTATTGCAGGGTGTGACCTGGAAAATAAATAAACCCAATGGCCCTAGAACTCAGTGTTCTCTCTCCCTGTGGTCACCTCCAGAAACACTGACCAGAACTGGCTTTACTGTTCCATGCCTGGAACACTCCCCACTGTCCAGGTCTCCATGCAGACTTCATGTTGACCGCTAGGTCCACTCCCAGTCACCCCCTGTGCATCTGCCCACTGGGCCCTTTCTGCTGACCCATTTGAAAGCCACCAGCGTGGAGATACTCAGAAGGACAGTGCTCCTAATGAGCACAGTAATCAGAGTCAGGTGTGTGCTTAGCTCTAACCCCTGCCTCGGAGCGTGTGTTTTATTCATTTGTCACCGTAATGGCCTATTTAGCCCGAAAGACGATTGGCTCTGGGTCCCAGCCGGAGGCCATCCCCTCTGTCTGCTGGGAGCAGGGCCTTGTCAGACCCACCAGCTCTCTTATCACCACCCTGGGGTGCCTAGCTAGGGAGACCGCACAGACAGTGGAAGAAGTTTCTGGAAGGGATGGGATGCATGGCCCCTCTTTGGAGCCACAGTTTTGAAAGACGACCCTAATCTGGCCTCAGACTCTGGGGTTGTCATGGGTTTGCCCACTAGTCGCGGGGCCTTCCGGCTCTCCAGCTTGGTCTGCTCCTCAGAGTCTGTGCGCTGTGCCCCCCCCCCGCCCATCCCCCATGCCCTGCTGCCCATCCACTGCGCCCCCCTGCAGCTCAGTGGTCCTCACTGGGCGGTCCCCTTCCCGCCTCAGCCTACCCTGAGCTCCCAGCAGAGGCTCAGCCCCTAGAGGACTCCTGGCCCCTTTCTGAACAGGAAGAGCCACGCAGAGCAGGGAAGAGAGGAGCGGAGGAAACGGGGGCTTTGCTGCCTGGTGAGGTGTGAACATCCTGGCACCGACGGGGAAGGGAGTGTCTGGGCCACTCACACTACCCTCCCGGGTCCTGCCAAGCCCGGTTCCTCCCACAGCCCAGGTTTCAGCAAGCCTCCAGCTGGGCACTCAGCCACGCTCGGGCGCTCTGGGGCTCCTGTCTTCCGCAGCTGGTCTGTCCATCCTGCTCGCAGTCATATGAGCACCTCGTCCAAACACGTGTGTCACCATGTGGGGGGCTGCTCTCTGCTCAGGAAGATCCCTCTCCACTGCCATCCGCAGCTTCCCTGCCTACCCTCCCACCCTGACGGCTCCTGGCCTCCCTTTGTCCCCACCTTCCCTCCCGCTACCAGAGTCTGTCCACCACGGCCCCTGCCCATCCCCCACACCCTACTGCCCATCCACTGTGCCCCCTGCCCGTCCACTGTGCCCCTTACCCATCCCCTGTGTCCCCCTGCTCGTCCCCCACACTCCCTGCCCGTCTCACCATCCCCCATTCCCGTGCTCAGGTAAGCTCTGTGGCAGGTTGGTGGCTGCCCCGTTCACACATTTTCTGATGACAGCGGTGATACATCTCTAAGGAGGAAATTGGAAATCGCGAAGAATAAGGAGAAACGAACTCCGCGGCACATCTGTTCTGCCTTCCGCTGCGTTCTGGGCGGTGGGCCACTTTCAGATGCTGTCCTTGGTCTCTGAGGATGCTTTACCTGCTTCTGGAGAGCAACGCTGAACATCTCTTCTGTTCTGAAGAGTCAACGGCAGCCTTTGGGGGAGAGAAGGTCCTGTTAATAGGGGCTATGGCTAGAGAGAGTTGAGGGGTGGAGAGTACAGCTCGCATGCAGGAACCCCGGCTCCATCCCCAGCTCCGCAGGGGGCGCCCTGAGCCCTGAGCTCTGCCGCCTGGGATCCCAAAACCAAAATAAAGGCATCAGGAGCAAGTACGGTCTGATCTGCCGGTGATTTTCCTGGTCATTTGTGAAGGACAGCTACATGCTGTTATCTATACATGGTGTCCACTGGGGAGCAGCCGGCCGCCCCCAGATCTCCCTTCCCTGAGCAGTGGATATTTATACCCTCCTTCCAGAGCATTCCAGCCGCCAGGACCCAGCTCCATCCTTTGTTCCGATTTAATAGTTCGTTTTCCAAGAGGCCTAGAAATAAGACCTAAGAGTGAGGAGAAGGGATCAAAAGAGTGAGGAGATGATACAGTTTCTTCTGAGATTTTTGAAACAAAAATTCTGTTTTGTCAGTTAATTTTGGAAGGGGATCCCTGGAGAAATGTGGACCCACCCAGGGTCCTGTCACATCCCCAACCCCTCGCCCCATGCCAAGCCCACATCCCAGCCCCTTGGGTCATCCTGGGGTTTTTCTTTTTTTTGCTTTTTGGGTCACACCTGGTGATGCACAAGGGTTATTCCCGGCTCTACACTCAGGAATTACTCCTGGCGCTACTCAGGGAACCATATGAAATGCCGGGGATCGAACCCAGGTTGGCTGCGTGCAAGGAAAATGCCCTACCCGCTGTGCTATCACTCCAGCCCCACCCTGGGGTTTTTCTAAGTCTTTTAGTTTTTTTGAAGGGATCAGGTGTGAGGCTTAATGCCATAACACCGAGTTTGATCCCCATCATCACTAATAATAATGGTATTTTATTTTTATACCAAATTGATATTCCTCACCATGATATCCATTTTCAGGTATGAAATACAAACTTCCTACTTTGGCTCGTGGTTTGGGGACCAGAGTCGGTGCTTGGGACTGGGCGGTGCTCCCAGGAGTGCTCCAGGATTGAACCCGGCCTCCCAGCCCCACTTTTTTGGCTATTAAAGGCACAGGTTGAGCAGAATCTGAGGGTGCCTAGGGCCCGGTACACCCACGTTCATGCGTTTCTGCATGGCTGAAATTGTCCCTCAACCCGGGAGATTGCTTGAATAGGGAACAAATGCTTTTTTGGGGGGGGGGGGGTCACACCCAGCGATGCTCAGGGGAGCTCAGTGGTTACTCCTGCCTCTGCACTCAGAAATTACTCCTGGCAGTGCTGGGGGGACCATATGGGATGCTGGGAATCGAACCCAGGTTGGCCGCATGCAAGGTAAACACCCTACCCTCTGTGCTATCACTCCAGCCCCACAAATGCCTTTCTTGATCAAGGCCCTGGGTTTGATCCTCGAGCACAGCTGGGTGGGAGCAGAGCGCCCCCTGGCTGAGCATCACTGGGATGACCCCTCACCCCACCCCACCCCCATACCACCGTGAAGACCCCTGTTTTATTTTTTTTTTTTCAAATATTGGCAGGGAGGGATTGGGACCAGAGCAGTAGAACAAGTAAGATGCTGGCCTTGTGTGCAGTGAATCCAGGTTCAATCCCCAGCACCCGATATGTCCCCGAGCCCCACCAGGAATGATCTCTGAGCACAGAGCCAGGAGTAACCCCAAAGTACCACCAGGTGTGACCACAGAAAAACAAAGTAGGGGCTGAAGCTGTGGCACTGCAGGTAGGGCATTTGCTTTGCACATGGCCGACCCAGGTTTCATTCCCAGCATCCCATATGGTCCCCCAAGCACCGCCCGGAGTAATTCCTGAGTGCATGAGCCAAGAGTAACCCCTGTGCTTCGCCAGGTGTGACTCGAAAAGAAAAAAAAAATTAAATAGCTAAATTATGCCAGAGACCCAGGATGTGGCTCGGCGGCATGTGTGAGGCCCTGAGCCCATTCCCCAGCACTCCAGAAAACTCTGTCGGAATTAAAAGCCACCCCGCTCCCCCCAACTCTCACTGCGTCTCAGACTCCCGCCTTTATACGTTACTTCCGTGGAAGATCAGCAACTGTTGGCATTCTCAGTTTGGGCGTTTCTGTGCCTGGCTTTCTTACCAGCCACCTCCAGTACCAACTCCAGGGTTGATAAATATTGTTTTGGCAGGAGGGAAGAGACCAGACATGGTCTTAGAGCCACACCCTTATCTGCCTGGATTCTCACCCTGACTGAGCTGGTGGTGAAGCACTGAAGTCGGCTGCAGCTCCCGAAATGCACTTCGCTAGCTCCCCTCGCCGGGTCATGAAGTCTGACCTCGGCGTCACTTATTTCCTCCTGTATTATTGGCAGGCGCCAGGCTAATGCCTCGGATCAGCGTAGAACGTCGAGAGCATGAGTCGTTGGGAGGGGGAGGTTCTGAGCCCAGGTGTGAGCACAGGGACCCTGAGGTTGGCAGGGGGAGATGTCTGAGCCCCACTTTTCTGCCTACCCCACCCATGAAACTGACTGTCTCGGTCATCACTTAGATCTGATGTCATTTGGCAGCACTCAGGAATTTTCCAGAATCAGAAACTCAGGTCACAGGTGTATGTATTTAAGATGAGTGCTGGGCTTTGGGGGGAGGCAGTGCTGGGTGATTCCCTGCCTAGTATTCGGAGGCTCCCCCTGACCACTGCCGAGGGGCCGAGAGTGAAGCCGGGCTTCCTGCGTGCAGTGCATGTTCCCCTGCCCTTTGAGCTGCCCACCCAGCCCCTGGTCCCTTCCGGGCAGTGGCCAGGAGGGCTAGCATCAGTTTCTTCCAGTTGACTGGGGCCGGTGGGCAGCTGTATGCCACGTCACAGGTCCTGCCCCCTCCTGCGAGATGCTACCGAGACCCTCGCACTCTTCCGTGGGCTTCCCGTCTGCAGCAGCCGGGTGAGGCTGAGGCAGCGCCTGGGAGCAGAATGTTCTGGAGCCCGGGCTGCTCCTCCGCCTCCCCGTGGCCCCCGCATCCCATTCTTTTAATTTCCCCCATTTAGCGCTAAACTGTTTGGCTTTTGGCTGTGCCGCCGCCGCGTAGCTGTTGGGCTCGATGTAGCGTGGTTATTTTCATCTCTTTGATTACTATTTTGGGTGAGCGTGGCTGCCAGTAATTTCAGACTTGTTTTCCACTTTGTGGAGACAGCACCGTCGCCGCGCGCGCACTGAGGCTCATAATCCATTTAGGATAATGTTATCTTGTGTCTTGCAGTCCCAGGCTGTCCGGCCTTCCCAGCTGGTCCCTGAAGGATGGAAACACTTTCCTGGAGAAGGTAACGCTGGCCGGCAGCCCCCTCCTCCCAGACCCCCCCAACCTCTGCCCCTCCTCCAGGGCTCCGCCCCGGAACTCCCAAGAGCCGGGTGCGGGTCTCAAGAATTGTTGGTGACAATTGTTTCCAGGCCTGTTAGGGAAACTCGGGGTTCAGAGGCAGATCCGGCTCGCTCATGTGTGAAAATCTAAGGACTTCTGCTGCAAATGCATTTTCTCACCACGCAGAGAAGCCGATTATTTTTAGAACCGCAAGGGGAGTTTCAGCGGGGGCCTTCTCTGAGGCCATACCTGGCAGTACTTGAGATCATCCTAGCTCTGCGCTGAGGGATCACTCCTGGCAATGCTCAGGGCACTCGGTGGGTGCCAGGGATCAAACCAGGGTCAGCTGCACGCAAGGCAAGCCCCTTACCACCCCCTTACTCGCTCCCCACCCCCTACCTTACACTTGTGTTATTAGATTGTAATCCCAGAAATCCATGCCTCACTCAGTGGTTGGGCAGTTCACTTTTCCATGAGAGGCCCTCACACAAAAAGATGTTTTTTGTTTTTTGGGGTTTTTTTGCTTAAAAAAGTGGGGGAGGGGGCGAACGATAGCACAGCGGGTAGAGCGTTTGCCTTGCATGCGGCTGACCAGGGTTTGATCCTCGGCACCGCCAGGAGTGATTCCTGAGTGCAGAGCCAGGAGAAACTCCTGAGTATCGCCAGGTGTGACCCAAAAATCCTAAATAAATAAAAATAGTTTAAAAAAAAAGTAAAGGAAGGTGACGATTAGGCCAGAAGCCTCTCCTCAGCCCCTTGGAGCTTAAAGATCCTTAAGGTGATTCAAGGAAGCATTTCTTTCCTGCCGTGGGGAGCGTTCAGTCAGGGGGGTGCCCCTTATCCACGTTTTACAAAATTGCTGCTCCCCCACGCCCCCAAAGGTGCCCTCTGAGGCAAGGTCCCCCTCCAGCCCCCTGCAGCCCAGGGCAAGAGGGAGCCCTGTGAGCCCCCGAGGGCTGCTGAGTCGCTGTGGGCGTGGGTGCTGCTCGTGAGGGAGACACGGGGAGGCCTGTGCACAGGCAGAGGCTCTTCTCCAGGCCAGGGAGGAGCCTCCCCCGAGGCTTTCTGAGGTGCCCACTGACGCCGATGCAGCGGGGGAGGGGGGGAACGGGAAGAAGATTCCAGAGCCTGCAGGGACCAGGCAGAGCTGCCAAACATCCCGTGATCATTCTGGAATCATTTCCCCACTCATCCTTAGGGACTTGGGTGTCTTCTCCCAATTAACCTGATTGCTCACTCGTTCACAGCCGGCAGGGACCAGCCTAAGTGAGACCTGTTTCGGCATCTTTGAGGCTCGTCCTTTCACTGCCCAAATAATGCACTTGGGGGAGGCAAGGAGCCTGGTTTACAGCAGAGGGCAGTGGGGGAGGCGTTTGATCAACTCCCTTGGAAAGTGTCCGAGGAGCATGTCCTCGGGGGATAGCGTGTCTGCAGGGCTGGAGCAATAGGACCACAGGCAGTGCCCTTGCCTTGCACGTGGCCACCGGCCTCGGCCACTATGTGAGCCATTCTGGAAGCTGGACGCAAGAGCCGCGGCTGTCCGTCAGCCAGCCTTCTGCGGCCTAAGAACGGCATTTCACCTCCTTGAGCCCGACAGAATTGAGCTGGGCTTCCTGTCCCCGCAGTCCCAGCCGTTCCTGACCCCTTGTGGAAAGTCGGGTTGGGGGCTGGAGCGGCGTGTGTGTCAAACCTCTCTCCCGAATAAGCTCATCCGAGAATTTTGTTCCTTTTCATTTCTTTAAGGAGCTCAAAGAGTGCTCGGGCCACGTCTTCGTGGATTCTGTGCCTGAATTCTGCTTACCTGAGGTATGACTAGAGGGAACCTCCCTGCGGGGACCAGGCGGGCCCTGGAATCTCTCCAAATGAAGTGGAGAAGTAATTTTAAGGGGCTTAGCTTCCTGTTTTCCAATTGAAATGAGCCTGCTGGTGGAGGCGCAGAGTCACAAGCTCGGAAAGGACCATTTAGGGGCTCTTGACATTGTCTGGGAATCGTTTAAGCCGCTCTCTACTTCCCATCCCTGCTGGCTCCGTAATTCCCACTGACACTTGTGCTGGGGCCGAGTTTTTAAGCACGGCGAGGAAACAACTTCCGGCTCTCTGCAACCGTCGTGCCAGTGCCAGATGAGCCCCGTTTCTCCTTGTCCTGCTTACCGCAGGGCATCGGAAATCGCTGTCCCTCAGGCAGTGCATGAAGTGTCCAGTTGTTACTGTCCAGAAACATCACACCAAGCCGTGTGTCACGGCTCCAAGCTGGGTCACAGATCTGGTGCCCCCCCCAGGTCATGATCACCTGGGCAGCGAGGAGTCAGGGTGGGTCAGTTTCCATTCAATTCAGGGTCTGGACAGGGAGAACCACATGGCCCAGGACGAGCTCTCCTCAGCAGGGTGAAATGCAGAGAAGCCTAGGACGTGTCCAGGGGCCCAGGGGAACCCACCAGGGGGCACCGTGCCATCTTCCAGACCCTTCTGCTTTTCTGTGTCCCCTGCTAACAGCAAGGCAGGGAGACCTTTTCCCTCCCGACCCGTGTCCAGGCTTTGGTACCCTGCAGATAAGCCTCTCTCCTCCCTTGGAAGTTGTGTGCAGCCCTCGGGAAGGTTCCGGAGGGAAAGAAGTGGGAGAAACCAGCCTGAAGCCGGCAAAGGTGGCCCCTCGGGGTGGGGGTTTACCGGGAAGTGGAAAAGAGGCCCTTTGCGAACTGGAGGGCCCTTCCCCACCTATTCCAAGACTCAGGGGCTGTGTCTGTGTCCTTTGTACCACACGCAGCTCAGAGACCACCGTCAGTGTCTGGGCAGTGAGGGAGGGAGGCCTCTGGGGGGACTCCAAGCCTCTGCAGTTAGTGGCTGCCAGTTCCCAGGTCACACAGGCCCAAGAGATGATGGGCTGACTTGGGGCCAAGTGCCGTGCCCGCAGTTTTCAGCCAGGTAGTGTCTTAGCTCGGGGCTGTGATTCTCCCAGGAAGTCGAGGCGTGGCGGCACCGTAGTGAGCGCCTGAATGTCCCCCCATCCTGGCTCATGCCCAGAGAAGCCCCCCAAGTCCAGCCCACATGTGCAGGAGTCTTTCACTCAGCCACTAGCATGGTGGACCAGTCCACACCACAGGCACAGCAGGTCTATACTGCCCACAGCAGCCTCGCATCAGGCATCTCCCACCCCCACACCCCCCCGGCCGAGACCTGGGCCACCCCGCGTCAGCAGCCCTCTCTCCTCAGACCGAGCTCATAGACCTGTCCACGGTCGACGTCATCCTCATCTCCAACTACCACTGCATGATGGCGCTGCCCTACATCACCGAGCACACGGGCTTCAGCGGCTCCGTGTACGCCACCGAGCCCACCGTGCAGATCGGCCGGTGAGTGGGCAGGTGGCGGCCTGGGGAGACGGCACTCGGGGGTGTGGGACACCTGCCCATGGGAGGGGTGGGGATGCCCGCCGCTATCCGGCCCCGGGTGCGAGAGTCCCCCCTTCTCTTCATGCCTTCTCAGGCTCCTCATGGAAGAGCTGGTGAACTTCATCGAGAGAGTGCCCAAGGCCCAGTCGGCCTCGATGTGGAAGAACAAGGATATCCAGCGGTGAGCCCGGCCCCTTGCCTGCCCACGCGTCTCCCCAGGGAGGGGGGCGCCGCCTTAGGGGGTGCTGGGCCCGCGACCCTGCACACTTTCTCCTGTGCTCGCCCAGCGTCTTCCTGTCTGTCCCTCCCAGTGAGCCACTCCGGCAGGACCCTGGCCCTGCCTCCCTGCTGCCCGGGACTCCCCCTGTGCCTGCCGGACACCCCCCCCATCCAGAGCCACCCCTGCACCTCTCCCCACTGCCTGCCTGCACAGACCCGGGCCTCTGCTTGCTTTCCGCAAGCACATGGCCTGGCCACCCGCATTTCGTCCTGGGAGCTGGCGTCCCTGAGCGACGCTTCCACTGACGCCCACGGTCTCCATGGCCAGGTCCCCAACGTTCCGCCCCTAGGAAGTCCCCAGGCCTTATTCTGCCTTTCTGGCCGGACCCTGACCGTTTGCCTTGCCTGCCCTCTGTTCTTTGCGAAGTGCAAGACAACCAGCTCACAGCAGGGAGGGTGTGTGAGGGAGGGGTGGACGGGCCCCTTTGGAAATGCCCCCATCCATGACGGCTTGCTCTGATACTGCTCCAAATAAAAGGTGCTGGCAGGGAGGGACGTGAGTCTGCTCTCGCCGCCTGCTGGCGACGGTCGGGAAGGGCTGAGCACTGGCTGGGGAGGGCCAGAGCCCCCAGGCCCTGGGAAGCTGCCTCCACCCTCAGCCAGATTCTGTACCCCGGGGAATCCAAGGAGAGTCTGGGGCTTGGGAAGAAGGTGCTGAGGGGCTGGACACATAAGCCAGGAAGCCAGGACAGGCACACGGGGTGTTGGGGACCATCACCTGGCCTCACTCTCAGGCCACAGGAACCAGCGACTCCTCAGCCGCCCTCCTGCACCCCTTTCTGACGCCTCTCCCTCCCGAGCCAGGCTCGCGCCATGTCCAACGCACAGACACTTTCCTTCCTGGCTGTGCTTTTCACTCTCATTCACTTCCCCAGAGCCAGGGCCACAGACTCGGATGCTGTTGGGGATGGGGAGGGCAGCAGTGGCGTCATGGCCCCCACCCGCACCAACACTGCCAGCTCTCTCCGGGGATCCCACTGTCTGCTCTCCTCTGGGAGGCCTGAAGCTAGAGTGTTCCCCATGGCTCACACCTAAGATGCTGCAGGCAGGGCTGAAGCAATAGAATAACGGGGAGAGCATTTTCCTCGCAAGCAGCCTTCTTGGGTTCAATCCCCAGCATTCCATAGGGTCCTCTGAGCACCACCAGGAGCAGTTCCCAAGTGCAGAGCCAGGAGTAGCCCCAGAGCATTGCTGGGTGTGACCTCCTCCCCCCAAAGAAAAGAAAATTCAACTCCAACATGAGTTGAATTTGAGGCTCAAGGTCTCAGTTTTGTGCCTTTTCAGCTCTTAAGACCTAGAATCAACACATTTCAGTCGCATGGGTTACTAATAAGATCGTCAAATGGGAAAACAATAAATTAAACCCTTTCCTGCTCGTTCATCAAAGGAATGTGATGAATTCCCGTAAATCACTAGAAGTTGGGTTGGATTAGCATTTGATTTAGTACTGGTATGTGTACCCCCCAAAAACGATCCTTCTTGCTTTGGGGCAGCTGTCTCCCCGCCTGGCTCTTGATTTATTTGCGCCAATCCACCATCCTTCTTCCTCATTCTGTCATCGCAATTGACTCTTCTTGAGAAAAATTAATTTTGAAGGTGGGAAAAGGAAAATGACTTGCAGTGCGATTTTTTTTTTTGACCCTACAACCTCCTCACTCACTGCAAATTCGGGTTATGAATTTAGGAATAGGGAAAACATAAAACAAATATTCCCATTAACGTGGTCTCTAGGATTTTGGGGGGGAAGGGGGAGGCTAAGACCAGCATTTTTGGTGTAAGCATAAAACCCACAGTTCTGATCAAGGATAAATTGTTTCAGGTTATTGTGATCCTCTCGTGGCATTAAAGAAGCACGCGCTGATATTTTCCTGCAGTCCACTTTCCCGATTGAAACGTTGCAGCTATTTTTAATACTTTGGACTTAAAATGGGTGTTGGGGACTCCGGAGCAACGGCAGGCGTGTCCTGCATGGCGTCCCTTCTCCCCACCCAGGGGCTTCCCGGAGGTCCCCAGACTGTCCCCCTTCTCTCGTTCATTGGCAAACGCTTAGGGCACCCCCAGGCAGTCTGCATGTGGCCGTTAGGTCTGAGCCTCGGCCATAGGTCTGAGCCATGACAGGGGGAGGGCTAGCAGCCCCTGGCATGGAGGCAGGGCACAGGGACGTGGTGACCGGGAGACAGTGCTTAGGACACGTTCCACATGGGAGCTCGACTCTGAGCAGTCTAAAGGCTGCGGGCAGGTAGGGCTGGTTTGCTTCCCCGTCTGACCCTAAATCAGCCCGTGACCCTGGTGGCTCCCTGGACACTGAGGCCACCTCTGCCAGCTTCCCGCCTGCCAAGAGAATTCTCCTGAGAGAAAGCGCGAGCAGTGCGTGGTGAGAGGCGGAGGACGTGCTACATGCGTAGCAGAGAGCGTGTGTGGGTGAGAGGCCCAGCGCATGCTGCATGCATGGTGGACAGCGGATGTGCCTGGCAGAGTTACCCTGTCTGTGTTGGAGACCCCTCGGGGAGGGCACTGACCTTCCGTGTGGCCATCTCAGGTTCAATCCCCGGCATCCAATATCATCCCCTGAGCACTACCTGAGTGCGGAGCCAGGGGGACCCCTGAGCATCACTGGGTGTGCCCCCCCCCACCCCGCCGCCAAAATAACAATAATAATAACAATAAAGGGTGGTCCCTGGCCTGTGTGCTGTGGCCCACCCAAGGTTAGGGACCTGCAAGACTTGGCTGGGCAGGTCGGACGGGCCAGGGAAGCTCTGGAGGGATGCAGCGCCCACCCCAGGGCCAACCTGGCTTCCCTGGGCCCGTCAGCTGGCCAGTGATGGGTACTGGCCGTGTCCACTTCCTCCCGTACTGAGCATTCCGACCAGAGATGCACGCAGCAGGGCCAAGGCTCTGCTCAAAGGACCCCGGCCAGTCCAGACTGCCCGTGGGTGTGGCCTCCGGAGGCCTGACCCTCCCCGGCCCTCTCTGCCTGCCTGACCCAGCCACTTGGGGACTGGTTTTGCCTTTAGATTTTGTGATTTTTCTGCAGTTTAATTCTTCTTTTTTTCTGTTTTTTTGTGGGGGAGGGGGGTTGTTGTTGTTGTTGATTTTTTTTTTTTTGAATTCCTGTATTCGTTTTCTCTCTTCTTCTGCTCTCAGGACATTCCTGGGGGACTCAGGGAATCACAGGGGGCTTCAGGGATTGACCCCAGCTGGCTGTGTGTGGAGCAAATGTCCCAGCTCTCCTGTCACTCTGGCGCCCCTTTCCTTTGTTTTGTGAGCTTGTGAGGACAGGCTTGCTGAGATCTGTTTCCATTCTGTTGTTGTTTTTTGCTCAGATTTTTGTTCGTTTTCAGTTTTGAGGCCACACCCTGCCTTGGGCTGCTCCCAGACCAGTGCTCAGGGGCCTCTTCCAGCAGTGCTCAGGTGACCAGGGAATGGGACACCTGCAGGTCCAGCGTGAGCTCTCTGGCCCCCTCCAGTCCCTGCCGCTGGTTTTATAAAGAAAACTTTATTGACACATGGCCACACTGACTCATTTGCATAATTGTTCCGTTTCACCGCCAGATTGAATTGTGACAGTCAACATAGTGTCTGCAAAGCTTAAAATATCTAAGAACGCTTTATAGAAAGTGTGTGCTGGCCTTCAGTTAAAAACTCAAGAAATTCTGACTAAAAAAAAATGTTTTTTCTTTATTTTTGAAATGTCCTCTTTTTTATGTACTCTCTCTGGAACTCTTATTTAGAATCTGAACCGTCAAGACTTCCACTCAGAGTTTTCCCCTTCAATTTTTCACCTTTGTTTTTTTCCTTGGGCCGGAGCGATAGCACAGCGGTAGGGCGTTCGCCTTACAAGCGGCCAACATGGCCGACCCGAGTTCGATTCCTCCGCCCCTCTCGGAGAGCCCGGCAAGCTACCGAGAGTATTCGATGTGCCAGACACAGTAACAACAAAGTCTCCAATGGAGACGTTACTGGGCCCGCTCGAGCAAATCGACGATCAACGGGAGGGCCTTTACCTTACCTTTTTTTCCTTCTTTTGTTAGGAAATTCTTTTTCTTTTTTCTTTGCTTTTTGGGTCACACCCAGCAGTGCTTAAGGGTCCTCCTGGGTCTAACTCAGGAATTATTCTTGGTGGTACCCAGGGGTCCATATGGGAAGCCGGGGATCGAACCCGGGTCAGCCACGTGCAAGGCAAACACCCTACCCACTGTGCTATCACTCTGGCCCCTGCTAGGAAATTCTTTTAACTTTCTTTCCTAACCTTTTTGGGTCATTTCTGCTGTTTCTGTATATTTTTGGCTTTTGTCGGGGGTGGGGGGTGTGTCTTGTTTTTGTTTGAGGGCCACACCTGGTGATCTCAGGGGCTATCCTGGCTTTGTGCTCAGGGGCCACTCCTGATGGGGTGGGGGGTATGAGCCCCAGTTGTTGTGTGCAGGGAGGCGTCCTTCCCCGTGTACCATGTCTCCGGCCCTCTGTACATTTTTATTGCTAATTTTGGCTTTTTTAATTTTGAACATAACCATTTCATTATAATATAAAACATAGATACCAAAAGCTCGCTGTAAAATAAATACACCAAGAGATAACTTGGGTTAAAAGTCCCAGGGCTAGAGCGATGGCACAGTGGGTAGGGTGATTGCCTTGCACGTGGCCAACCCAGGTTCGATTCCCAGCATCCCATATGGCCCCCTGAGTACCGCCGGGAGTAATTCCTGAGTGCAGAGCCAGGAGTAACACCTGTACATCCGCCAGGTGTCACCCCCACCCCCGCCAAAAAAAGAAAGACATAGAAAAGTCCCAGGAACTCAAAATCCCGTCTCTGCCCCAGCCTCATCTAAAACGGATTGTATATTTGGGTTTTGGTTTTTGGTTCCCACTGGGCAGTGCTCAGGAGTCACTCGTGGTGGTGCTCAGGGTGCCGTTTGGACTCGGGTCCGCCGTGTGCAGGGTGAGCCACCCACCCTCTCCTCTCCCGAGGCTGCCCATCCCCCCTGCAGAATTGCCCTTCGGTTAGGCAGATCGACTGTCTTGGTTCGGGTTTGGGTTTGGGACCCACACCCGGCGATGCTCAGGGCTTCCTCCTGACTCTGCACTCAGGGCTCACCCCTGGCAGTGGTCAGGGCACCATATAGGGTGCCAGCGGTCAAACCCAGCCCCTCCATGTGCAAGGCCAGCACCTGCCTGCCGTGCTCTCGCCCTGGCCCCGATCGTCCCATCTTGACACAGCAAAAGCTCCGTGCCCACCTCGGATTCCCTTATTTTCTTCCTCTGGGGAGACCCTTTTGGACATTCCCTGTGAATCACCTCTTGCTCCAGGAATCTGGATGTTTTGGGGGGATTTTTTTGTTTGTTTTTCAGTAATAGAAAAAATTTTATTTGTTCTTTGTTTTATTTTGTTGGTTTTGGGGCCACACCTGACAATGCTCAGGGGTTACTCCTGGCTCTGTGCTCAGGAATCACTCTGGCAGTGCTCAGGGGACCCTATGGGATGCTGGGGATCGAACCTGGGTCAGCCACATGCAAGGCAAATGCCCTACCCGCTATACTATCACTCTGGACCATATTCATTCTTTAATTTTTAATTATTGGTCTTGAGTTTGGGGACACATCAGGCAGGGCTCAGGGTCCCCCAGCTCTGTTCATGGGGGGAGCCCAGCCCCTCTAAAGCTGAGGCCTGCGCTCACCTGTCCAGCGAGTCTCTGCAGTAGCGGAGTTTAAACACTGTCCTCGGTGATCAGTGCTCACTGCCACGGGGCTGGTCTCGGTTTCCAAACCTCTTTGGAGAAGAGACACATTGGCTTCTGCTCACCCCCTCTCGATGCCTGCAGCATCGAAACATGCAGCCAAGCTCCGTCCCCTCATTCCTGCTCTCCTCTGCTGGTCTCTGGAAGGGTGGTTTGTGTACGCCCGCAGCCCATCTTGTGATGCTTCCTACAGCCCTTTTCTGTCTCTGATCCTCGTGCCTCAGGAACTAGATCGCAGGATGAGATCGTGGGAACAGTGTTTCCGGTGTTCCCATGAATTGTTTGTTTGTTGGTGCTCTGTGATCTTGACAGTCAGTCTTGCTCCACGCCAACTCCTTGACTTGCAGCTTCTCTCTGGGCCTCTGAGACTCCCTCCTTCCAGCCCGCCTTGCTACCGAGCTGACTGGAACCGCCTCTTCCCCCTTAGAAGTCTTGCCGGCCCGGGCCCGGTGCCTCCTTCATAGTCTGAGCATCCTCCAGATGCGCCTGGTTCACTCTCAGGGGTCGGTTCTCTCAGGCTCGCTGCACACCCTCCTACTCTACACCCCAAAGCTTCTGTTTCAGAACCGAGGCTGCGAGCTCCTGTGGAGACTGCACATCCCTCCTTGGCCCCTCTCGTTCATGTTCTCTTTATCACTTGGTTTTGCATGTTCGGGTTTTTGTTTCCCTGTACTCGGGACGTGTCTAGGCATATGTTCACTCATGCCTGAGGCTTGGCCTGAGCATATGGAAAGCGGCCTGGAGTGTGGCGGCAGTTGGGTCGTGGAGGTCGGCTGCTAGGGCTGGGTACCTGGGGGCGTGGAGGGCTCTCACCCACCCCCCCTCTGGGGCACCCCAACTGAAAACAGCCTGGCGCAGAGTCTGGTGGCTTGGTTATGAGGGCCTCATTTTATGCTCCCTTCCTGGAGAAGCAGCCATGAGTTCATCATAAGACACTCACTACCCATTTTCCATAATTACCAAACCATGTTTGTTGGGGTTCAGACAGTAGGCAACAAATCACAGGGGGAAATATATATATATGTATATAGATAGATAGATAGATAGATAGGTAGATAGATATATGCCTCTCGGAGAGCCCGGCAAGCTACCTGTGACGTATCTGATATGCCAAAAACAGTAACAATAACGGGTCTCATTCCCTTGACCCTGAAAGAGCCTTCAATACGGCAGCGTTGGAAAAGACAAGTAAGGAGAGGCTGCTAAAGTCTCAGAGGTGGGACAAATGGAAACGTTACAGGCACCCGCTTGAGTAAATCGATGAACGACGGGATGACAGTGACACAGTGATACTCGGGATGTAGGGAGCGGCCAGGCCATACCTGGTGGTGCCCAGGGCTTACTGCTGGCCCTGTAACCAGAGAATCACTCCTTCTGGGGATCAGGACGGGCCGACGGGGTGCCAGGGGTTGAGCTGGTCGCCCCCCCCCCCCACATTGAGTCAGCCACGTGCGAAGCTGATGCCTGTCCCCTGTCCCCTCTCCTAGGTGGACTTTATGTCATTCTCTCGTGTGATATCCACTCTTGTTTTTCTCCCAGTTCAGCTTTTGTTCCTGAAGTTTGAAAAAAAAAGTCTTAACTGTTCATTGAATTCTAGCACCTCATTTTTAAGGCTTCTTCTTTTTTTTTTTTTAATCTTTCCCGTGGTTCTCACATGTTTTGTTGGATGTTTGTAGCTCTCTTAACACATATTTTGGGCTTCGGTGTCATTTGCGGCGGGTGGGGGGGGGGGGGGAGGCGGGTATTGGGGACTGAGCCAAACTGTGTGAGGCCTGAACATGCCCCACGCCTCCCCACCCCCCGCCCTCTCCGTGTGGTCTTTATTCTCATTTTTGCTTTTGTTCTGAAATCTCTTCCCGTGCTCTTACTACCCTCCTTTTAAGTACCAGTGTCTCTTCTCATCTCTAGAGAACAGCCCTCTCGTCTCTCTCTAGTGAGCACTAACTCGGCCCCTGCCCCCAACTGAGGCCCCTCACCCGCTGCCTCACCACGGATGTGTGTGTGGCTTCTCCGGGCACACTGGACTCTCCCGGGGCCTGCCAAGTCCATCTTACTGCTCGGATGTGGTTGGTGCTTTCTCAGATGCTCTCCTCTCTTTCTTGAGGGTGTGTGTGAGGATGCACACAGACAGACAGACAGACAGACAGACAGGGAACTAGTATTTCAGCAGAGGACAGAACTAATCTCCATCCCCGCGACCAGCAGCTCCCTGCCCTGTGTCCGGCTGTCCGGCGAGCGGGGCAGTCACGCGGAAGGCCCCTTCTTGACTGCTTGAGAGCAAACGGTCAAACGTCTTCCTTGTGCTCACTGGCTGTCAGGGACGCACGTCCTCCTGGAAAGTGACAAAGGGTGTTTTATTTTCCTCTTGAGGCTGAGCCTCACGCAGTTAGCACGGTCCCCTCCCACAGCCTGGCCAGGCCCAGGAGGTCACCTTGCCGTGTCATTGTGAACAGGAAGATGAGGAGAGCTCAGAATGATGATCCGATCCAGCCCTAAGAGAATGACTTGGGAAATAACGGGGGGGGGGGGGGGGGGGGGAGAGGGAGGGAGAGGAAGGGGGACAGGGATGGAGAGAGAGGAGGAGAAAGAGGAAGGGAGAGAACAGGGAGGGAGGGAGAAGGGGGAGGGAGAGGGAGGGAGGGGGGAGGGAGAGGGAGGGGGAGGGAGGGGGGAGGGAGAGGGAGACAGAGGGAGGGAGAGGAAGAGGGGGGAGGGAGAGGGAAAAAGAGGGAGGGAGAGAACGCTGATGACTAATCCAAGTTGTGGCCACCTTAGACAGGGCCCCACAGTCCCCTGCAGGTCTGACCGTGGCGTCCCTTGCAGGCTGCTGCCGTCCCCGCTCAAGGACGCGGTGGAGGCCACCACGTGGAGAAGGTGCTACACGATGCAGGAGGTCAACGCGGCCCTGAGCAAAATCCAGCTGGTGGGATATTCCCAGAAGATCGTGAGTGCCACCCTGCGTGCCCGCCACGGTGCCCGCTGCTTCGGGGAAGAAAGGCCTCGGGCGTCCCATTCCGGCCCCTCTGCTGCAGGGCAGCTGCAGGGTCGGGCTGGAGAGGTGGCGGCTGCCCCGCGGCCCGCGTGCTTGCAGGGAGAGGAGACGCTTCACAGCACGGGGCCTGGACACTTGAAGTGTTAGTGTTAGTGTCCCTAACGCCAGGGAGCAGCGTGACGAGACGGCCTCTGGGCCAGAGCTCACAGGGACCCCTTCTGCTAGACTGTGCTGGGCGTCTCCCCCGGGCGAGAGAAAGAACAGAAACCTACAGACTTGCCTCTTGGGGTCTCTGTGGTAAAATCTCAGCCCTCTCTCTTCAAAGAAGTTAGTTGGGCTGCTCTGGAGCTACTCCCAGCTTGGTGCTCGGGGTCGCCCAGGGTGGGCGAGGGGATTCTGAGTCGGCACAGCCTGCCCGGGCCCTCAGGGCTCTTCCTGGCCCTTTCTGAGGGGGGCGGTTCCCACCAGCCCAGAGATTATCTCCAGCGACACTCAGGCTGTGGACCCCCCCCCATACAGGGACCCCAGGAGCCTCCAGCAGAGCTGGCAGTGCCACCCGCTGAGCTGTGTCCCCCGCGCTCCATCCCTACACCGGGTACCTAGAAACTCTGGGCGAGGTACCACGTGAGCACCACCATCTGAGCTGCGTCTGCCACTCTCGCCGGAGCCCATGGAAACTTCTCGCTCTTTTCCAGGAGCTTTTCGGTGCCGTGCTGGTAACACCGCTGAGCTCCGGCTATGCCCTGGGGAGCTCCAACTGGATCATCCAGTCTCACTACGAGAAGGTGTCCTACGTGTCTGGGTCCTCCCTGCTGACCACGCATCCCCAGGTAACCCCCGCCCCCTCAGTCCTCCATGCACACGGCCATGCACTCGGCACATCCATGGGCACATTCACAGTGCACACTCATAGTACACACAGCACACACTCAGAACACAGTGCACTCCTATAGTACAGTGCACACATAGTGTACACAGCACACACTCAGCACACACTCACAGCACACACTAATACAGTGTACACTCATAGTACTCACAGCACACACTTTTGGTACACTGTGCACACTCATAGTACACACAGCACACTAAGTACACACAGCACACACGAACACACAGCGCACACTTATAGAACAGTGTACACTCATAGTACACACATCACACAGTACAGCGCACACTAATACACAGTGTACACTCATAGTACGCACAGCGCACAGCACACACTCAGAACACAGTGCACACTTACAGTACACCGTACACACATAGTACTCACAGCACACGTTCAGTACACACAGCGCACAACTTATAGTACACACAGCACACACCCAGTACACACAGCACACACTTATAGTATACAGTGCACACTCATAGTACACACAACACATACTCAGCACACACAGTGCACACTCATAGTACACACAGTGCACACTTGTGGTACACACAGCGCACACAGCACACATCAGCACACACCCAGCACTCAGTGTCGACCCAGTGCAGGACACACTCCCAGCACACGAGGCCAAGAGAGGACTCTTAGTTCTGGTGGCTTTAGCCCTGTGCACCACCATGAGGGTGGAATCATCCCGCTCAGGGCCTGTAGGCTGACACGGTGTGGAGCTTGTGGGACAGACCCTCCCCCAACTCGGCTCTCCTGTGAGGCATGGCCACTCGGTCTATACCCCCAGGGCCCTGCAGGCATGTGCAGGCAGATGGGGTGGGGGGTAGGAGCACTGATCATGGGGACACCCCAGCTCTGAGCAGTGTCCCGGCCTTGTGGTGTTCAGACGTTCTGTAGAATCGAGTTTCCTCTCCAGGTCTCGAGGGGACACGCTGCTATTTTTCCCCTCTCGCTAGCAGAATTCTGGGCCTTCCCCGCCTGTTGGAATCAAAAGCCATCAATGTCCTCCCCGCCGGCTCATTGAATCCGATTCCATATTGGCAGCTCCCTCATCCCTGATACATTCTTCCTTAAGAGACAGAGAGGGGACTTGGCTGCCAACTCCTGATTTGTCCTGCTTAGATCAAAGCCTTTACGGTACTATTGATGTCATCTCCAGTAAATTATTCATACAAGGTCCGTAAATCTGAAGGGAAAATAAGGTCATGAAAGTAATGAGCAACATACCTAGGTAATTAATTTTCATTTCTAGCTGGCAGGCGGCGTTGTACGTACGGAGGGAATTAGGCGCTCCTTTCCCCCAGATAATTGGATTCTGTAGAGTGGGGATAAGAAAAGCCGGGCTGATGGTCCAGCACTCTGCAAACCGGCCCAGGGGCCAGGTGGGTGCCACCTGTTCTGCCGAAATGTCCCTGTGCCCGTGTCTTCATGGGGTGGTGACGTCCCTACTGTCACAGCAGCCTCCCAGCCAGGTGCTGGACAACCCTGCTCTGTGCTGGGGAGATGCTCCTCAGGGCCAGCCCGGCTGGGCTGGGGCCTCAGAGAGGGATTGTGTGAGAGGGGACGGAGGGATGGCCAGCACAGTGTGTGGGGCTGTGGGGCCAGCCAGGGCCACCGTCTGCGGAGCTCATGCACTAGCCCTTGGAACCGCACCCCCAGGCCTCATGCTTTCCTTTCTTTCATGAGCTACCAGTGCAGATGTCTGCAGGGATAAGGGGATAGCTCAGATGGCCAGCACAAGGCGCGAGGTCAGTCCCCAAGCACAGCCAGGGACCCCCAGGCACCGCCAGGGGAGGCCTCCCTGGGCCTGGCCAAGCATCATAGGGAGTGACCCCTGGGCTCCCTGACCCTCCCCCACTCCAACCCCGACACACATACTTGCAGGATCAGGGACATGGCTGGATGCTGATGCACTGCCCACCCTGCTGCCCTCTGCCCACAGACCCTGCACCCTGGGTCCTGTGTGCTGCCCTCCCTGCCATCTCTGTCTGTGCCCCTCCCCCACGGTTTAGGCTTCCGCCTACCCCCTCCCTCCCTCCCTCCTGCCCGCTTGCTGTTCTCTCCACAAGTCTCCCAGGAGGGGGAGGGGGGCGCAGAGGGGGTGATTGTCACTCTCTGGCCTGGCACTGGCACAGTACCAGCCGCCCGGCTGGCTGGCTGACTTGCGCAGGGACCCCAGCTCCCAGGGCCTTGCATGTGCTCGTTCCATCAGGGTCACAAGTATTTTCATCTGCCCCTGGATGGACACACTGGAAGTTTGCGTGGATGTGTGTAGGGATCAGCAATGACTGTGCAAGGCAGAGCTGAAGAACGCTGCCCTCTGGTGGCGAAATGGAGGCACTGCGTGTCTCCTGGACCCGCCGAGAACCGTCTTGGCCCTAGCCTGTCTGGTCAGGCTGACCCGCACTCCCGTATCTGCCATGGGTGCACCGCCCTTGGGCTGCTTGGAGGTTTTTTTTGTTTTTGTTTTTCTTTTTGTTTCGGGGGGAGGGGTCAGATGGACCACACCCGGTAATGCTCAGGGGTTACTCCTGGCTCGCGCTCAGAAATTCCGCCTGGCAGGCTCAGGGGGCCATATGAAATGCTGGGGATCGAACCCGGGTGAGCCACATGCATGGCAAACGCCCTCCTGCTGCCCTGTCCTCCAGCCCCGCCCCGCCCTTGGTCTCCCTTGCAGAGCTTAGTCTCCCTGCGATGCCCATGCCTGTGCCAGCCTGAGTCCCTGCCATGCGCTGGAGGCCCAGCTCCTTTCTCTGCTCTCACATACAAGAGCGGGGACACAAGCCCGGTGACCACCCCGGGAAGGGAGCACAGGCACACACGGGGCCCGGAGAGGTGCTGCGGGCTGAGACTCATGAGCCCCCAGCCCCTCGCTCGCAGTGAACACAGTCCAGCCCCCAGCAAGAACCTGCTCCCCTCCCACCTCCGCCCTTCCTTCCGTGTGTGTGCACTTGCGAGCAGAACACGGATGTACTCAGCCCCGAGGTTACCCTCTCAGGGTCATCCTTCATCCGAGGGGGGGAGGTGTCGGGCCACACCTGGCGGGGCTCAGGGGCCCAACCCAGGGCAGCTGCATGAAGCCAGCGGCTCCCATGGGCCCTGAGGGACGGGGCGGCTGTGACTCCTCCCCACTGCCGGGTCTTTCCATAGCGTGTCTGGGGACTCTGTTCCTGAAACCGCGGGCAGGGATGCAGGGAGTGGCCGTGTCCACTCCTGGCCTCAAACCTCAGCTCCGACTCGGGGCACGGCTCATTCAGGAGAGGGTGTTTGGGACGTGGCAACGGCCGTTGGGGGGACAGTTCCCCGCCCAGCCTCCTGGGTTACCGAGGGGGTAAGACGTCCCCTGGACACTCCCAGGAGAGGCCGGGAGTGCACCCCCGGCCAGAAGCCCAGCTCTGAGAGGAGGCTCCAGTTCCCGACCCAGCCGAGGCCACCGATTCATGGGTCTGTGCCTCCCTCTTGGGCCTGCCTCACCGTGCTGCTTGGGGCCTCAGTGAGAAAGTGCCCAGTCCTCCCGCCCCATGGACTCCGATGCAGGCGGGCGGCCCTGCCCAGCACCACCTAGGGGCGCTGTCACCCTTTGATGAGGCATGAGAGCTCAGCCTTTTGGAAGGAGCGAGGCCTGATGGAACTGGGCAGTGCCACTGGGCCTTTTCATGGGACCAACCCAGGGACTCGGTATCCAGGTCTGAAGGCTTGGCTTCCAGTGCTGCCACCCTCACACAGGCGCACTGCCTTGCTCACGGGAGGGCAGCAGTGCGGGGGCGGCCCCGCTGTCCCCCCGCCCACCATCTGCAGATGCACCTGTTTTCCGTCACCGAGCCTGGCTCTGGTTTTTCAGCCCATGGACCAAGCATCTCTGAAGAACAGCGACGTTCTCCTCCTGACGGGCCTCACCCAGATCCCCACCGCCAACCCCGACGGCATGGTGGGCGAGTTCTGCAGCAACCTGGGTATGTGTGTGCCTGCGTGTGGCTTGGTGGGGCTTCCCGATGCCCTGCCCTGGGCACTCAGACCCTCGGGTACCCCACTGAGACCGCTCCCTGCTTTATCCCACACGCCCGAACCCCATCCTTTCAAACTACCTCTGGCTCACCATGATTCCTTTTTTCCTTTGGCCTTTGTTGGGACACTCCCAGGTTAGAGCTCAGGGTCTCCTGGCTCTGCGTCACAGTTAGGTCCCAGCCAGGGGTCGAACCCAGGCCTCCCACCCACAAAGCTTCCGCCCGCTGGGCTCAAGTCTTTAGCATCTGAGATCCGAAGGCGCAGTTAGCATGGTGAAACAGAAGCTGAATTTTTTTTAGTTCTTCAGACAGAACTTAGTATCGTCCCACTTGATTCATATAGGAAAGTCTTAGCCTTGAGTTTGGTGGGCGCGGGGTGGCCGGGTACATATAGGGTTTAGGGCAGTGGCCAGGCTCAGCCGAGGAGGTGCCAGAGACAGGCTGCTGGGGTCTGCAGTTTGCTCTGGAAACCAAACAGGAAACCAATTTGAGAGGCATTTTTAAAACTCAGTTCTGACTGCAGTTCTGAGTTCTCACTAATCAGCCGCGATTCTGCATCTCACAGCTGATCTGAAATGCTTCCGGTGTCAAGGATTCTCCCGTAGACCAAGTTGAAGGAAAGAAAGTGTCCCTGAAATAAGTGGAGTGGCCTGTGCGATAGCACAGCAGGGCGGGTGCTCGTCTTGCACGCCGCCAGCCCTGGTTCAGGCCCCAGAACCCCCGGTGCTCCCCTGAGCCTGCCAGGAGTAAGCCCTGCCAGGTGTCACCCGAAAACTAAGTCAGCTAGATTCCCTGGGTGTGTTTACTCCGAGGCCACCAGTGATGGCCAGAAGCCGAGTAGAGACAAACCCAGCGAAGTTCTAATGGGAGAGAAACAGGACGGTGCTGGCCACCCTGACAAACCCAGACCCTGCGCTGCTCCCTGCCTGCCTCCATGCAGTGAGGTGCCTGGGAACGAGCTCACAGGGGTCAGGACAGGGCCCCGACACTGCCCGCTGACCCTCCACCCCGCTGTCCACCCCCAGCGCTCACAGTGCGGAACGGAGGGAACGTGCTCGTGCCCTGCTACCCGTCGGGCGTCATCTACGACCTCCTGGAGTGCCTCTACCAGTACATCGACTCGGCCGGCCTCTCCAACATCCCCTTCTATTTCATCTCCCCCGTGGCCAACAGCTCCCTGGAGTTCTCCCAGATTTTCGCTGAGTGGTACGTTCGTGTTGTGTGTGGACAGTCTGAGACATCCGTGTTCTCTGTGGGTGTTCAGAGACGTCCAGGTTCTGTGTGGACAGTGTGAGGCGTCTGTGTTCTGTGTGGATGGTTTGAGGCAGCCATATTCTGTGTGGATGGTCCGAGACGTCATATTCTGTGTAGATTTCCAAGATGTCTGTGTTCTCTGTGAAATGTCCATGTTCTCTGTGGGTGTTCTGAGACGTCTGTGTTCTGTGCGGACTGTCTGAGATGTCCATGTTCTCTGAGACATCCATGTTCCGTGTGAATGTTCTGAGCTGTCTGTATTCTAAAATGTCATGCTCTGTGTGGACATTCTGAGACATCCATGTTCTCTGTGGGCGTTCTGAGATGTCCAGGTTCTGTGTGGATGTTCTGAGACCCCGGGTTCTATGTGGACAATCTGAGATGTCCGGGTTCTGTGTAGACAGTGCGAGGCTTCTGTGTTCTGTGTGGATGGTCTGAAGTATCCATGCTCTGTGTGGACAGTCTGAGGCATGTTCTCTGTGGATTTCTGAGATGTATGTGTTCTCTGTGACATGTCCATGTTCTGTGTGGACGTTGAGATGCCTATTCTATGTGGACTGTCTGAGATGACCGTGTTCTCTGAGACGTCCATGTTCTGTGTGAATGTTCTGAGATGTTCATGTTCTGTATGGACATTCTGAGACATCTGTTTTCTCTGTGGGCATTCTGAGACGTCCAGGTTCTATGTGGACAGTCTAAGATGCCCAGGTCCTGTGTGGCTTTTGTGTTCTGTGTGGATAGTCTGAGATTATCAATGTTCTTTGTGGATAATATGAGAAGTCCATGTTGTGTGTGGACATGAGACATCCAGGTTCTGTGTGGATGTCCTAAGTAAGACCTCCGGGTTTTGTGTGGCTCTTCTGAGACCTCTGGGTTCTTTGAGAGTGTTCTGTTTGGACAGTCTGAGATGTCTGAGTTCTATGTGGATGATCTGAAGCATATGTGGTTTTTCTGAGACTTCCATGTTCTGTGTGGACATTCTGAGACATGTGTTTTTTTGTGGGTGTTCTCAGACATCCTGGTTCTGTGTGGACAGTTTGAGGCATCTGGGTTGTGTGTGGACTGTCTGAGATGTCCGTGTTCTCTGTTTGAGACGTCCATTTTCTATGGGACAGTCTGATTCACTCCATTGAAATAGTGACCATGGAAGGTCCCTCCTTTTTCCCTATGGGCTATGAAACTTTGGCTTGGCTGTTTCTTCACCGATGTGAAGTCGGCTGAATTGCCAGGGCTTAGCAGAATCATAGTCTCGAGGAGTAAGGAGAGAAGGCAAAACCTGCCAAAATTATGTTCTCAAATTTAAAAAAAAAAAAAAAAGCTGAAACTGCTGTTGGCTGAAATTTCTGAAACCGTATCTAATGAGAAAAACCAGCATTTCAGTAGCACCGCTGACAAAATTCACTTTTATTAGAGCAGAAATTGGCTTAGAAACGCCCAGGTGGGTAAGACACAGAGCCAAGAGGAAATTAGCGACTGCAATGACCTGGGTGCAAACCCCTCCTCACCTGGAGTTCGAAGGGGCATTCGCTGCTTCACCAGCAGGGGGCAGCAGACACCGCCTTGTGCGCCCTGGCTAACTCGCGGCTGTTCTTCCCAGGCTGTGCCACAATAAACAGAGTAAGGTGTATCTTCCAGAACCGCCGTTCCCGCACGCAGAGGTAAGAGAAGGGGATGCTGGGGCCCTGGGGCCGAGAAACAGGGGGGGGGGGGGGGGGGAATGAACTGAGCAGGTGTGAGGGGTTAGAGAGTTACCGCTGAGAATATCCCCCAGCCAGCCCATGTCCCGAGATGCCCCCATACCCCTCTGGACAGGGAGAGGACCCGCCCTGCTATGCCCGGATGCTGGGCTTCAGTGGGGACCACCACCGTGTTAAGCCCCCCAGAGCCTTCCTCTCTGGCCGCACCCGGTCTTGTCCCTCTGCGGCTTTCAGCCGGCTATGCGGCGTGGCGGACCTTCTATGTGCACATGAACTCACTTCAGGTGCGGGGCACATGGGGATGTTCCAGGCAGTGTGGGGAGATGCTGTTTGAATTGTTCTAACGCGTCAGCAAGCTGGCAGTGAGTGAGACAAGGGCATGTTCCTGATGCGGGCACTTTGTCCCGGCCCTTCCCAGGACCCGAGCTCAGTGCCGCTCCCAGCGTGTGAGGTTCTAGGGGTGCCCTGGAAAGGGTCCACATGCCTTGGGCTGGAGGCAGCCCCAACATCCTTTTGTGCCCAGCACTGAGTGCCCATACCCGGGTGCGCCCGGGGCTGCCCTCGCAGCTCATCCAGACCAACAAGCTGAAGCACTACCCCAGCATCCACGGCGACTTCAGCAACGACTTCCGGCAGCCGTGCGTGGTCTTCACTGGGCACCCCTCCCTGCGCTTCGGGGACGTGGTGCACTTCCTGGAGCTCTGGGGCAGGTCCAGCCTGAACACGGTCATCTTCACAGGTAAGCAGGCACGGCAGGATGTGGAGGAAGGGGGTCCGCGCAGCCCCTGGGCCCCAGCCCAGCCCCGGCCCACACATGAGCGGGAAGATCCCATGTAAAGTGCCAGTGAGCCGGGAACGGCAGGCGCCGTGAGCTAGTAGGTGCCGGAAACCTCCTGCTGTTGCTCATCCCACGGGCACAACTGCTAGTGAGGAATCTCACTCTGGGGTGCTGCCGCCCTGCACAGGTCCCTGACCCCCAAGGGGGGTTGCAGGATCTGTCAGGACACCCAGGAGGGCTGGCATTAGCCCCTGACCCGGTAGTGCTCAGGACCTGCTTTCCTAGAAGTGCCCAGGGGATCCGCACCCCTCTCTCTCCGGCCCACTCTCACTTGATTTCTTCGTGACTCAGTTTCTCTTCTAAAGAAATCGGCCCCCTAGCCCATTCCCCCCTGCGGGCCCCCGAGTGGCCACGCACACCCCCCGCCTCCCTCTGGCCTCTCCCCAGAGCCCGACTTCTCCTACCTGGAGGCGCTGGCCCCCTACCAGCCCCTGGCCATGAAGTGCATCTACTGCCCCATCGACACGCGGCTCAACTTCATCCAGGTGTCGAAGCTGCTGAAAGAAGTGCAGGTAAGCACGGCCGCCCACCACTCCTGTGGGGACTGGGCCGAACCAAAGTGGCCCCTGGCCCCCTGCCCATGCTCCACGGTCACATGCACCACCAGACCGGTAACTCATTCTAAAGCCGAAAGTGGCCAGAGAGGCCGCACCCATGGTCTCTGCTTCTTGGCGGCTTTGGGAGAGTCCCACCCTAGCGGGAAACTGCAGGAAGGCAGAGGACACTTAGCAAGACTCAGCTGCGCTGGGCAGGGGTTTTCTCCCGTGAAAGCAGAGGGGTCTTGTGAACGGGGACCAGCCTGTCCCACACTGGACTGTGGCCCCACGGAGCCAGGCCACCGTGACCACAGGCACGGGCAATGAACGCCCGTGTGACTGGTCAGTGCCTGAGGCTGAAGCCAGGGGAGCCAGGGGAGCCCGGGGACAGGAAGGGGCCTGGCCACTGGTCTCACGTCCCTCCCCCCACCCCCTGCCGCAGCCGCTGCATGTGGTGTGTCCCGAGCAATACACGCAGCCGCCGCCCACACAGTGCCACCGCACCGACCTGATGATCGACTGCCAGCCGCCGCCCATGTCCTACCGGCGGGCCGAGGTCCTGGCACTGCCCTTCAAACGCCGCTACGAGAAGATCGAGATTGTACCCGAGGTGAGCGCCCGGGGCCGCCCCCTCCCAGCAGGACATGCGGGGCCCGCACACATGGCCTTGTGTTACTGCTGTAACTCAAAAACCATGTTCAAGAGAACAGCCTAAGTGTGTGTGTGTGTGTGTGTGTGTGTGTGTGTGTGTGCCTTCTCACATGGCCTTGTGTTACTGCTGTAACTCAAAAACCATGTTCAACAGAACAGCCTAAGTGTGTGTGTGTGTGTGTGTGTGTGTGTGTGTGCCTTCTCACATGGCCTTGTGTTACTGCTGTAACTCAAAAACCATGTTCAACAGAACAGCCTAAGTGTGTGTGTGTGTGTGTGTGTGTGCCTTCTCACATGGCCTTGTGTTACTGCTGTAACTCAAAAACCATGTTCAACAGAACAGCGTGTGTGTGTGTGTGTGTGTGTGTGTGTGTGTGTGTGTGTGTGTGTGTCTTCTCTCTGCCCCACCCAGTGGCGGTGGGGCTGACCCCAGGAACGTTCCTGGGAATCTGGGCTCAGAGCTGGGGCTGCCGCCCCTTCAATAAGTGTTTCACTTTCCCAGTTTCCTCCCTTTCTTTGAATTATAGCGGAAATAACTGTTCCAACTTCGCGGCAGTATTTCCTTTTGCCATGAAAATGAACAATATTCACTGCAATTAAATCCAGACCTTCTACCAGTGCTAACTCCTTTTGGTCCAAAGGTTATTTAGGAGAGAAGCACTTTTCTGGATAGAGCTCAGAAGTTTCCCACCAGGGAGGAGGGGAAGTTTCCCACGGATTCATTTTCCAAGTTTATGGATTCTGCCTGGGGTCAGAGCCGCCTGTGGGCCCTTCCCACCTTCCTCAGCTTAGGGTTCCTCTCTCGGGGCTGTTCTTCTTCCTCTCTCGCTCAGCTACTTAGCCAGGGGCTCTCAGGCCATCGGGGGGTCAGCTCTGGCCAGCTGCCTTCTCCCCGGAGTTCTGTGGCCAGGTTTCTCTCTGGGAGAGGCGTCTGAGATTGGCAGCTGAGACGGGCCTCCTCAGGTTCTTTGCCCCTGGACGCCTGTTCCTCAGCCTTCCAGGCCGCCTCTGGGTGTCGGCTGAGCCTCAGGTCATCGCGCCACCCATGTGCAGTAAGGGGCGAGCGCACGTCGGCACAGCCCTGCACCCTGTGGGTCAGGGTTTCAACTGCTTCTGCTCCCCGCTTCCCCGCTTCTGGGCGGTTCCTCACTCCTTGCAGACGGCATGAAGGGAGGGAAATGGGGATGGGGGTGTCCAGCGTGACTGAGCCCCCCTGCCTGCCGGCAGCTGGCCGACTCCCTGGTGCCCACGGAGGTGAAGCCCGGCGTCTCGCTGGCCACCGTCTCGGCCGTGCTGCACACGAAGGACAACAAGCACATTCTGCAGGTATGGGAGGCTGGGACCCCCCCATTCCCCGCCGCAGGCCCAGCCCCAGGTGGTCCCCACACCCGAGGCTCAGCCCCCCTGTGTCCCCACAGCCTCCACCCCGGCCGGCCCCGCCCCCGGGGGGCAAGAAGAGGAAGCGGGCGAGCGAGGACGTGCCGGACGGCAAGGGGGTGCGGCCCCTGCTCAGCGGCTCCATCCCCCTGGACCAGTTCGTGCAGACCCTGGAGAAGGTGGGCAGGCGGGCACAGGGGCGGCAGATGGGTGCAGGGAGGGCAGGCGGCCCGCGTGTCCCGCTGAGCTAAGCCCCCGTCCTGCCCGCCCGCCCCGGCAGCACGGCTTCAGCGACATCAAGGTGGAGGACACGGCCAAGGGCCACCTGGTGCTGCTGCAGGAGGCTGAGACGTTGATCCAGGTAGAGGAGGACTCGACCCACATCATCTGCGACCACGACGAGGTGCTGCGGGTGCGGCTGCGTGACCTCGTCCTCAAATTCCTGCAGAAGTTCTGAGCCAGACAAGCACGTGGGGCCCATGGGGCTGACCGGCAGATTTGCTGCAGGGCAGGGTGCGGTGGGGGGCTGGCACCCAGGAAGGGGTGCAGCCTGCAGTGCCCAGTCCTCCAGGATGGCCCCTGGCAGGAGGGAGGCGCGTGCCCCTCTGTATTTTATATTGCAAGCCCGTTTGTTAATAAAACTTATTTTTGTAGATGTATCTATGCTCCGTGGAACCTGAAACCTACACTTAGATTTAGCATCTGAAAGTACTGGGAGGGGCTGGAGTGATGGCACAGCGGCTTTGCACGCGGCTGACCCGCGTTCAGTCCCTGGCATTCCATGTGGTCCCCCAAGCACGGCCAGGAGTAATTCTGAGTGCAGAGCCAGGAGTAACCCCATGCATTGCTGGGTGTGACCCAAAAAGCAGCAAAAAAAAAAAATAATAATAAAAAAAATAAAAATATGGTGAAAAGCATGAGTTTGAGCTGGAGAGGGACAGATGAGACAATCTGGGCTTTGCCACTGTGTTATGGTCCCCCGGGCACCACTAGGTGTGACCCGACCCCAGCCTCACGAAGCAGCAGGAAATCCCTGTTCCCTCACCCTGACCGACCTCAGTCACAGGAAGCTCCGCTGTGTGGACGCCGCGAGCCCCCGTGGCACACGTCCGAGTCTGCAGCAGGCCGGGCAGCCCTGGGCCCGCTGGCCTGAGGATCAGTCATTTCTCCAGCTGGCCCACAACTGGACCCCAGGAACCATGGGAAACTCCGCAGGATGTAACCGGGGTGTGCAGGAAAAAGGCGTCCCCAGCGTGGCTAGAAGGGGCCCAGGATGCCCACACCGGTTCTGGGGACGCATGCTTGGGGCCAGGGATGAACTGGGCCATGGGAGGGGCCACGAGGCCACAGCAGCTGTGGAAACTAACCCGCACAGTAGGTCCAGAGCAGGGCGGCACACAGGCTTTCTCACAGGACCGAAACTTGCTTCTGTCATTCGTTTAATGAAGGAACATTCTGGAAATGCAGAGTCTCATTCACTTGTACTCCTGAGATACCCAGACAGGCCTGGAATGGCTTGGACTTCCCCGAGTGGTCACAAGGCCCACAGTGGCGAATACACTCAAGAGGCCAGGCGGGACAGGACCTCTGTGAAATCGGTCCAACTGAGGCAGGGGTGATGGAGACAGCCCAGCTATCTCCGACTCGGGCGGAAGGCAGGGGGGGAAGAAGCGCAACTTTCCTTCGAGCGGGACTGCACAGGGAGGCAAGGGCCGTCACCCCGCGTCACCTGAGCCGCCTCAAGGATGATGGAAGCCAAGGGCGCAACTGACCCTCCAGACCGAGATGGGCAGGTGGGACTGGCACAGCCATGTCCACCCCAGCCCAGTGAGGTCCGGACAACAAAATAGCCGCTGAGAAGCTGCTGGAAATGGCGAGAAGCCTGTACAAAGCACCATATTCATACTTATTAGCCCCACTGCTGGCCAGGCCCCGAGGCATAGGGGCCGTACCTGGGACGGGCACACAACTGCACACTCCACCCCGAGCCCCCACCCTGTTACTCAGGTTGTACCAGAATAAAAGACAAAAACTCAAATCCCAGAGTCTTAAAAAGAAACAAACCAATACTTCAAGGTTTTATATACGGGCAGACACAAAGCCGCCGCCATGTTCCAGGTGCCAGGAGCAGAAAGCGCCACCCACAAGAGTTTATGAATCAGATTTTGCAAAGGAAAAGCTTCTCGTGAGGAAACTTCATAAAGAGAACAGATACGCCAGCAACAAACGGGGTGATTGTTGACTCTGCATTTCCAGAGGCCAGTACCCAGATAGGGAGGAGAGGGGCTCCTGTGAGCATGCGCTGGGCCCGAGTTGGCGCCCCCGGAGCCCCAAGCCCGCCAATGGCTCCGTAACCCCCAGCTGTGGCCCTGATGGCCCCCAGCAACCCGGCTCTGCCAGGCTCCGATACAAAGAAAAGAGTATTGTTGGCCATACTCGTCTCTCCACTCGTTTCTCTAAACGAGCAGCCAAGCACAACCCTGACACAGGCTGCACGTGCAAGAAGCGGGTGGTGTGGGCTCCCCGGGTACAGGAACCTGAACGACGGCAAGAGGAGGTGGCGGGGAGGAGACAGGCCGGCACCGATGGCCACGCACGCAGACCTTTGTCTGGTTACCCGTGAACCCTCCGGCCGCGGTGTTTTGCCATTTCCTGGAGCAGTGGGAGTTCAGGTGGGAAGCCCACGTGCTACCCACCTGCACCGGGGACAGGCCCACCCTGGGTCGTTCCCCCCCCCCCCCCGGAGTCCCCCGCGCTGTGGCAAGAGTGACCACGGACAGGGGGTCAGAGAGGAAAAAGTCCAGCCCGCCCTGTGCTCCCTTCCCAGCAGAGTGACCCGACGCTTGTCCAACTTCCTCAGTGTGGGGTCACACCGAACAGGGCTTGGGGGCACCTGCCTGGTGCTCAGGCGTCACTTCCAGTGATGCTGGGGCTGGAACCAGCTTCGTGAAGCCCACGCTGGCGGGGACTCAGGCCTTCCCGCGGCTGCAGGGCCTCCGACTTGGGCGCCACCCTGACCCCGGCAGCTCAGCGGCACCCCCAAGCTTGGTGGAAAGACTCCTGAGGTGGGCTGTGACTATGGTGAGAAGCAGGGGAGCACGCAGACACTCCCACAGAGACTCAGTCCCACGGGACAGCGGGCTGAGGGGGGCCCGCCCGCCTGCTCCGGGAGCGCCAGACCGTCCCCCTCCCCTCTGCGGCCCCGCGGAGAAAACCCACAGGACTCGCAGGCCGTCGAGTTAAAGTCTCCATTTATTTCATTTTCTTACAAAACTCCAACGTAAGACCATTGTGCTCGTGATTGGAAGGGGCGGGGGTGCCCGGGCAGGGCTGCCTGGCCAGCGCCAAGCAGCGGCAGAGTTCGGCGCCAAAGGCCACCAGCCCAGGAGCGGGCGGGCGGGCGGCAGGCAACAGCCCGTGACACCTGCGTGCAGCCAGCAAGCGCGGGGTCTGCAGGGGCTGCGGTGGTGCGGCCAGCACGGGGAGCCCCCGCTCATGGTCAGCAGCAAAGGGGTCCCGGCCTCTCCCTCCCTGCCCCTCAAGGACACCAAGCAGGCACTGCTTGGGCGGAGGCCCCCAGGCCAGGCCCCAGACTGGCACGGGCAGCGCCAAGCTCAGCGCGGGAGACGTGACCCCTGACCTTAGGTCCCGCCCAGGCCCCCCAAAAGGCCATCTGGGAGCTCCAGGACACAGTGACAGACGCAAGTAGCAGCCACAGAGAGCGCGGACACCTCACTCCTGGGCCCCCAGGAGAAGGCTACAGCTGAAAAAGAATCTGGGGTCGGGAAGGGGAGTGGGGGGTCCGGACCCCTCGGCCAGTTATCAAAGCTCCACCAAGACACCGTGGGGTCCCACGGACACACAGGGGTCAGCAAACGGCCTGTGTCCCAGAGACACTTGAGGACCGTTTGGTACCAGCGGGAAATGCGCCCCCTGAGATACAGAAGCCCGGGAGGCCGGTCTGGGGCGTATGGGACCGGTTTAAGGCATGTGCTTGGCCAGGTCAGGCCCGAGCTCTGCTCACAACTGGGGACCCCCACCCCGACAACTCCATTTCAAGAAAGTGGGGTCCGGAACAAGAGGACACAGGCCAGTCCCTGCCGAGAGGTAGCCCCGCCCCCACACTGAGGCCCACCCAGGGGCCCAGTGGTCACTTCCAGCACACAGGGACATGGGCTGGGCCTGCTGTGACCCCGGCCAGCGGGGCGTCCCCACAGCCTCAGGGCAGCCTAGGGCCCACAAGGCCTGTCTGGAAAAGGACACGAAACCCCAGGAGGGGGGCAGAGCACGGTCTGACGAAACTCTCCAGAACCAGCTCGTCCAGGGGCCAGGAGAGGAGGATGGTGGGATGAGTAGTGCTGGCCATAGCCTGGCCCGGCCCCCGGGCTCGGGGGCTGCCTGTGTTTCTCGTCTGAAGACCGGCCAGGCTCTTCAGAGCAGCGTCCGTGGCACCTCTACCTCCTGCCCTGCCTCTGCATGTGAGTGTGTGTGTGCGTGCGTGTACACATACGTCCATAGGCCGTGTGCAAGCACACGGGTATAAATAAGCCTCGAACGGCCCAGGTGTGACGCCTCCTTCAGGCCGCCATCGCAGCTGTCACCGAGTTTAGGGACCACGACCCGCCGCGGTGGGTACGTGACTCGGGTAAGCGGGGGGCCCAGGGGTCAGCCCAGAGGCCGCCAGGGGCCGCACTGCCTCCTGCTCTTCCCGCTCTGAGCCTGGGAGCCTCGCCCCCTCGCACGGCCACGTCCCCACCTGTCGTGCCGCTAGATGAACTTGAAGCACTTGGTCTTGTCGTGGGGCAGGCGGGTCTTGAAGAGCACCGAGTCCACGCGGAACTGCGTGTAGAGCAGCGGCATGTAGCCATACACCTTGACGAAGAAGTTGATGCACTTGTGGCGCTCGTGGAAGTGCGAGTCGTCGTGGGACAGCGCCTGCGGGCAGCCCGGGCAGCGGAAGGTCCAGCGAGACGTCACCTGGAGACGGGAGAGAGCGGGCGGTGATGAACCTGAGACGGCCTGGAAGGGAACAACGACCCACGATGGGCGAGAAGAGCTTCTGAGAAGGTGAGACACAGATGCGAGGAGGCAGGAGAGGGTGGAGACACTCGGGAACCTGCGTGTTCTGGAAGCAGTGCGCGTGAGCGTGTGCTGGTACGCATGCGTGTTTGCATGTGTGTGTATGTGCACTGGTGTGTTCATGACTGTGCGTGTGCAGCACACTGCGTGGTGTGTGTGTATATATGTGCATATATAACTGCATGCATGTATATCTGCGTGCCACGTGTGTGGATGAACTGGTGTGCACACATGATGATGGACGTGTGCTGGGTGCGTGTGTGCTGCACTGGTACATAGGCTGGTACATGTGTGTGCGTGTGTATGCCTGTGCATGTGTATGAGTGTGCATGTGCTGGTACATGTATGCATGTGTAGTGGGTGCATGTGTGTGCGTGTGTATGCCTGTGCATGTGTATGAGTGTGCATGTGCTGGTACATGTATGCATGTGTAGTGGGTGCATGTGTGTGCATATGAATGTGTTCATGTGTGCATGTGTGCACTGGTACATGTGTACATGCATGTGGGTGCATGTGTGTACATGTGTGTGCATGCGTGTACGTGTGCTGGTACACGTATGCATGTGGGTGCAGGTGCATGTGTGCGCAAGTCTTCTCTGGATGGAATTTTTATTTCACAAAGTTGCCATGTCCTTGAAACTGTCTTGCTCCCTCTTCCTCAGCAAGTCTCCCCCACCCCAGGGTCTCCAGGGCTGACGCCCACATCAGGGACCCTCACTCCCTGCGTGGCCGCTCCCTCCCCCACAGCACGCTCTCACTCCAAGACAGACCGGGGAGTCCAGCGCAGGGCATCACTCAGGACGAGCGACCCTGAGCCGGCCCCATGTGCCCAGGCAGACGAGTGAGCGGCCGGCCTGCATGGCGAGGGGGTGCACAGGCATCGGAGGGGATGCAGCAGTGATTCCGCTTCATGGGGTGGTGGCAAGAGTCCAGGCAGCCCCCATTGGACAGTCAGGTTTGGGCCCTCAGTGACAAGACACATGGGGCCTCACGGGATGGGGGTAGAGCCGGCCCTTTCCTCCCCACCCCAACAAGACCCCAAGTCGCCACCCACAAACGGCCTCTCTGGCTCATGATCAAGCTGCTTAACCGCCATGATCCCAGAGACTCAGAAAGAAATCTCGGAACCCGGTGGCTTTTGGCAGAAATGCGTCCAGACCCTGCAGTAGGTTACTGTCGCTGGGCCACCCTAGAGGGGAAAGGGTGCTATCCCTCCACCTGCTCCCCCTTGGCAGCTCAGTGGCCGCCATCCTCCAGAGACCACTGGATACTCAGTGATGAGACATGTGGGGCCTCACAGAATGGGGGTGGAGCCGGCCCTTTCCTCCCCACCCCAACGAGACCGCGAGTCACCACCCATGAATGGCCTCTCTGGCTCCTGATCAATGTGCTTAATGGCCATGATCTCAGAGACTCAGGAACAAATCTAGGAACCCAGCAGGTTTTGGCAGAAATCCCTCCAGATTTAAGTGTTAAAATTTCGGAATTTCAAATTGCGCAGCCACTACTGCAGCCATGTGACATCTTATGTTATTCTTAACTAGCAATGGAAAACAAATTGTCTACTGTTGCCTTTTCAGCAGATCTGAGTGTTGGGGTAAAATCCCAAATAATAATGGTAGGTCTTGTGTCAAAATATTGAACGTGATCAAAGTAGAGAGTGAGTAATGTGGAAATCATTGCCCCATAGTTAGGGGGAAGATGTGGGATGGGGGTATACTGGGGCTTTTGGTAGTGGAGAATGGGCACTGGTGAAGGGACGGGCATTTCATTGATGACTGAGACTTAAACCCAAAAGCTTTGTAACTGCTCTAACGGTGATTCAATAAATAAAATTATAAAAAATGAAAAAAAAAAAGTAAGGTAGAGTTCATGCCCACTTCAATCAGCTAATCAGTGGCTGAATAAACAGCAGTACTCCTACATTAAAAAAAAAAAAAAGAGTCCAGGCAGCCCTGAGTCCCCTTCCTGGGAAGCAGAACCTTGTGCTTCCCCGCAGGTGGGCACCTTGGGGTCCCACCGTCCCCTCAAAGTCGTTCTGAAGGAGCCTACATGTTTCTGGAGCCCCCCCATAAAGGCAAGGGCGGGCGCACTGACCCCCCTGTTCCTCCGAGGGGGGTGGGGCGCCAGCATGAGGGGAGCAGGTCAGCGGGTGAGGGGAGCAGCCACACCCTCCAGGTGCCCACCCAGGAGACAAGCTGTAACACGGACAACTCAGGTGCCGTCTTTAAAGTAAAGCAACGACAAAACTCTTGTCTAGAACCTACAAGAGCACGCGGGCCTGACATGAGCATGTGGGAGACTCACAAGGCCCTCGGCGTGGCCTGAGCACAGAAGAGCTCAGAGTGTGTCCCTGGGCCGACTCTGCCCTCCACGCTCTCGCTTACCCGAGCCCGCCCACGCGCTCCATGACCACGTGGTGGGGCCCAGGCTTCACGGGCAGCTCTTCCCGTGCCAGCCCAGAGGGAAGCGTCGGCTCTGCTGATGAAGCAGCGGCCTAATGACAGCCAGACAAACACACCGTAATGGAGATGGAAAAGGCCCCGTGTCTGGAGGGCGTGGGGGAGCCAGGGTATTATTAGGCACCTAATCACTCGGCTACTTTTAAATTTTCATGGATAAGGGCTCCTAGTCTGCGGGGCTATAAATAGCGTCTGTCTTGGCAGCCACCCAGTCCCGGTGGCGGCAGCGGCGGGAGAGAACGGCCATGTGATGAGTAGAGAGCGGCACTGGCCCCGCCCGGCTCCCCGAGAAGCGTTTTCCCTGTTCAGCGTCCCTCCACGCCCGGGAAACGGCACTCTGCTTGGTTTGGGGGCCCTACCTGGTGGTGCTCGGGGCTAACTCCTGCTCTACACTCACTCAGAAGTCACTCCTGCTCAGGGGCTCAGGGATGCTATGGGGTGTCCAGCACAGAACCTGGCTCAGCCGCGTGCAAATTGACCCCTGAACTATCCCTCAGCCCCCCCAACGTTGCGTCTGAGCTCCACGTGAAAGGCCACCAGGGGGCGCCGCTCAGCTGGAATCTGGGACCCAGAGCCACTTCCAGGGGTGAAACCCTCTGGGCTGATCAGTTCCCACACACGCAGCCAGTGCCACAGCCGTCTGGTGCATGACGCATGTGCCTGGGCCCTGGCTAAGCCCTCTGACCCCTGCCCGCCATCAGCAGCCCACGGAACCCTCCAGCCCCCTCCAGGGCCTCCCCCGCTGGACCGAGGCAGCCCTGAGGCCTGGGCGGGCCATTCACCTTGATGGGGGGCTTCCGCGTGATGTGGGAGACCAGGAAGTTCATGGCGATGTCCTCGCAGTTGATGTACTCGTCCACCATGTCGCGGATGGCCTGTGGCATCACGTACGAATACAAGTAGGCGTAATACTGTGGGGACAGGAGAAATGGCGGTCAGGCGGCTCCCGGGGGCCTCGGCGTGCCCAGCCGTGGCCACTGCCCACTGCAGCCCTGGACCATCCTGCCAGACCCACCCCCAGCTCCCCCAGAAGGAGCTTCTCAGGCACCTTGTGGAAGAAGGCGGCCCCGGTCAGCACCATGGACAGCTCGCAGGAGTAGTTGGAGTTGTAGAGCCAGGACTGGTGCGGGAGGTCCCAGGCATGGTAGCGGCCGGGGAAGCCCACGATGCGATCCCTCGCCTCTCGCCACACCCTGAGGACAGACACAGCCTGAGCACCGGGGCCGTTGCCACCCGCCAGAGCAGGGCCCGACCAGCCTGTGCTCAGGGGGACCCAGACTCGCCACTGACAATGGGTGCCGGCAGGCACACACAGAGACCACCTGAGACAGAGACGGGGCAGGGCTGCGGGCTGGGAAGGATACCCAGCGTGCTCCCACGGGCATCAGACACCCCGGGGCAGGTGGCCCAAGGCCCAGCTCCACCCACATCACCCCCCGCCCCAAGAACCGCAAGGGGCCTGAGAAAACCACCTGTGCCCACACAGAACCTGATTCTGAGAGACGCTGAGACTGCGCTTCCTGAGGGGTCCCCTGCGGAGTCTGACACAGTTTATCTCCTCGGATAGACCCTGACTTACTCATCGAGCGCCTGAGGGAGCCCGAGAGACCCCCAGCACAGGGGCTCCCAAGCAGCGCCAGGAGCGAGCCCCCCCAAACAAGAGCGGCCACAGTCTTAGGTGCAGTGCTTTAAGGACATACACTGGGTGAGTCTCTACGACTCAAAATCATTTTTGGATGAGTGACCGCAACAAAACAGGCCATGCAACCACCAGCATTCAACTTGAAATGCATTTTTAGGATCAACAGTACTTCCGGCACTACAGGAAAGTCATGGGAACGTGGGTGCCAACGTGGGTGCCCAGAGCCGTTCTATCCCCTGCCTGTTCTACTCCCCTCATCCTTCCCGACCAGGCACCACCCAACATCAAAGGCGTAAAAATGCTTCAAGCTCAGTCACCCACAGGAGTGCGGGGCCGCCATCGGCCTGCAGCACCCCACGCAGCCCCCTCACCTGAGCAGGGGGTGACGAGAGGGTCCCCAGATGAGTGTGGGGAGGACAGCGGGACTCTAGGCCACACCTGAGGGGACTGTGGGATGGCGAAGGGCGGCTGGTGAACTGGCAGAGGCACAAGCCCACGCGCGCCTGCCACGGTGAGCAGCCATGCTGCCTGCCCACTCCCCAGGCCCCCCACGGATCCCTGTAGACGTGGCCCCGCATAAGACGCCAAGCGTCATGCCCACCTCTGGACCAGTGTGTGCACCAGCCTGCCACATCCCGGGCCCTGCCCTCGGGCCACGCCCCAGGCCCCCAAGGACTGCGCGCTGCCTCACTCACCCACTATCCTAGAGCCAGGCCCCCCCAAGTAGCATACGATTCTATTTCCAGGCCACATCAGGATACTCGGGGTCACTCCTGGCAGTGCCGGAGACTGTACCCAGGTCGGCCCCGCAGGTGGATGCGGAGGACCCAGAGCCGCAGAGACACACACGACAGAGCTCAGCATACCGAGGGCCGGAGCCAGTCGGCCTTTCACTGCCACCCGGGTACCGAACTTCCTTCCTCCTCAGCACAGCGCTCTGCCTGCTCGGGGCTAACGCCCACCACCCCCCAGCCCGGAAACCCGAAGCTTTTCTCCTCCTGGATTTTGGCTTCCAACCCCACCTTCCCCTACGTCTTCAGGGACCCCAGGATTCTGGGCTTGCTCCCCTCCTTCCTCCCCCAGCCCTCGTGATCCGTTCACATCCAGGTGGCAATGCCCAGGCCCCAGGAGGGGCACCCGCCTCACCGGAACCCGAACATGATCTCGTCGTGACGAAGGTGGGCGTCGTCGTCGATGGACAGGACGGCCTCCGTTTCGATCTCGGCCCAGGGCAGGAAGCGGTTGTTCAGGCTGTTCTTCTCGGTGCGGACCACCTGCGGGGGGAGAGAGGGGAGGGGGAGTCAGCGGCACGGCCACCCTGGGTCAAGGGCGTCCCCGCGTGTCCTCTGGAAAGTGAGCCAGAGCGGGCTGTCACCGTGAGGGCGACCGCCAATTCTATGCCAACTGCTGCAAGTCCAATGGGGTGAGCCAGTCCAGTCAGAGCACCCCGGGGGTCCAGAACCACACTCGCGGAGTCAAAACATGGCAGCCAGATCACTCCCGAGGACTCCAAAACAGTTTCAGGACCACCCTCAGGGTGCAGGGACAGTTCCAGGACCACCCCTCGGGGTGCGGGGGCAGTTCTGGGACCACCCCTTAGGGTGCGGGAATAGTTCCGGGACCACCCCTCAGGGTGCAGGGACACTACCGAGACCTCAGTGCCTGGACAGTGAAGGGGACCCCACCCCCTCCTCTGCAGTCATCTCTGTGCCCAGGCCCACACCACTGCACCAGACTCTCGTCTGGAGCACCGGGTGTGGTGCCCAGGGAGGGCAGGAGCCAACGGGCAGCCCCAGACAGTGCTCCTCTGCCGGATCTCACGGATCTCGGGGCCCACCAATCCCAAGCCCTCACATCTGGCACAAATTCCACGGCACTTTCTAGGACACAGGGTTCCAGCTCTGGGGCTGACTGCAAATTCTCACACCCAGAGGGCTGGGGCAGAGGCAGTGTGGGGCACCCACAAAGCCCCCGTGAGCCAGAGAGGCGGGGGGCCCTGCACAAGGCAGGAAGGAAGGCCAGGAGTGCCCCCTGGGCTGCCCCCGCTTGGGAAGCAGAGTGAGACTCCCGGATGAAAACCGCGGGAAAAGCCCAGGCGCCTGGAGCCGCAGCCTCTCTGGCCAGTCCCGGAGGGCGCTGGAGGACCGCACTGAGCTGCCACAGGTAGGAGCAGCGCTGGCGGGTCTCGGGCAGATCACAGACGGTGACCCGGGGAACCCCACCACCACCACCACACACACACACACACACACACACACAGAGACATGCACACACATACATAAAGAGGCGCACACTTACACACAGACACACACACACAGAGACATGCACACAACCACCACACACCACATACAGACACACAACCACCACACACACATGCACAGACATATGCACACACACAACCACTACACACACACACACAGACATGTATAGACACAACCCACACCCATACAACACACGCACAACCCACACACAGTCCACCATATACACACACATACAACATACATACACACCATACCTACAGACACACCCAGACACACACACACACGTCCTACAGACACACACAAAAACACGCATAAATACAAACACACACACACAAGTTCCTGCCAAGGTCAGAGTTGGGAAGAGCGAGTGGTGGGGTGCAGCAGGCCAGGCTGCCAGGCTGCTTTCTCTCTCGGTGCATCTGGGCAGTATTTGCCTGTCTCAGGACAAATGCCTGTGCTTGTTACCACAGTGACATTCCACCAGTTGTCACGAAGAACGAGGAAGGGAGGTTCACTCAGCAGAAAGCCCACACAGGAGCCTCCCAGCAGATGCTTTTCCTCAGCAGCTTCGAGATCAAACGTTCTCAGGAGCCAAGGTGCCCGGCCCATGACTTCCACCTCAGGACAGGCGGGCTCAGGGGAACGGAATCGTTCCTGAGCCCCTTTCTGGATTCCAGACTTAACTTCCTGAGATCCCCTTTAATCCCAAAGTCAAAGAAGATCATTGATTTAGCACAGATCACCAAGGGGCCACAAAACCCCAAGTCCGTGTCATTCCAAAGCAGGCATCCAAGACTGTCCTGACGCTGAAATATTCCACTTTGGTGCCAGAGAGACGCGATAGCGTTAGGATGACCCCAGTTTAATGCACTCCAAGGCATTACAGTCCCTCCAATACCACCAGGCAAGATCCCTGAACATAGAGCCAGGAATAGCCCCTGAGCACCCATGGGTGGGACTCCATATGAGATCAGTTTCTCACAGACATTTAGGGGTTTGTCCAAGCAATACTCAGAGGTCGGGGGGCCACTCCCAGCAACCGTGGGCCTGACCATGGGGCCTGAAGAGCGGCACTGCTGGACTCGGCAGGGATGCCGGGGCTATACCTGGTGGTGCTTGGGGGACCCCTTGAGGTACCCCCACCCCACCCTGAAATTAATGTTTTTAGCCCAACATCCCCCTCCTTGCACATCCTTCCTAGAAACCACACTCACCTCAGCATCAAGTTTCTGTGGCCGGCAGGACCTCCAGATGGCAGCCGGGACCCAGCCCAAGTCCTGGGCGGCTTGCTGAGGGTCAGGAGACACCTCAAAGGGCAGCTTCACCTTCAGAAGCCCCAACTCCCGGCACCTGCTCCTCCTCGGCCATCACCCCCGGGAAAGGAAACGGCCTCCTCAAAGGCCTCCTCCCTTCTGGGGCTGCCAAGAGAGTATCACACCAGGCTCTAACCACTGAGCCACATCCCTGGTCCACAAAGCCCTCGCATGTGAGCGAAGTGGGAGACGATGAGGACCGCCGAGTCTCTACAGGAGGTGACCCTGGGGAAGACTCAGAAATCAATACCCCAACCCGCACACACGCTCTCACTGTAGAAGCAGCATCTGCCTGAGCACGAACAGAGCAGACGGAGCCGGGCCCCAGCGCCGACCTCCCTGAGGGCGACCAGCCCACCACACGGGTCTCCGCTCTCAGTGCTCCCTTTCAGCGCTCGGGGTCACAGACTGAAACTGCAATGCCCAGGCCAGCGCCAGGCACCTCTTGTCACCATGGCGGACACCCCAGAGCCCAGGAGGTGGCATCCCAGCCCCCGACCAACACCAACACCCACACCCAAGCCCCCGGGAGCGAGAGGCAGCCCCTTACCATGATGGGCACCCCGATGTCGGGCCACAGCAGGTCCTCGGAGGGCAGCTTGGGCGAGTTCCAGACCACCAGGACCTTGTTGAGGTACGGGAGGCCGTTGAGGCGCTCGAGCGAGTTCATCAGCACCTCCTCGCGCTCGTACGTCAGCATCACCACCGTGAACTGTTCCCGCGGCACATTGCCGCCCAGCGCCGCCTGGAACTCCTTGCCGGAGCCGCCCGCCCCGCCGCCGATGGGCCGGAAGCCGGTGCCGGAGCCCAGGAACTTGGCCTCGGAGGGCAGCACAGGGTCGAAGGGCGTGTGCGGGAAGAGGTGGAAGGGGCCCGGGGCCGCGTTCCAGCTGCGGTAGACGTCGGTGACGGTGAGCGTGAAGTTGCGCAGGTAGCGGGGCGAGGCGTAGGGCGGCTCCGTCTCCACGGGCCCCAGGTCCAGGTCCCCGTTGTCGGCCAGGTTGGGGTCCGTGCCCGCTGCCTTGCCCGAGCGGTGGGGGATCTCGGCGGCCGCCTCCTCGCGAATGGGCGCGGCCGGGATCTGGATGCGGGTGCGGACGGCGGCCAGCAGCGTGCCGAAGAGGCTGTCCGCCGTGGAGAAGTAGGTCTCCCAGAGGAAGCGGCCCTGCCGCCGCATGGCCAGCAGGTCGCCGTCCGAGACGCTGCGCAGCAGGAAGTGGACCTCGGCCACGCGGGGCTTGGGCAGCAACAGGGCGGCCTCGTGCCACTGCAGCACGTCCCCGAAGGGCAGCTGCACCTGCTCGCCCAGCACCACGGGCACGGCGCCCGCCTCCAGCGCCTCAAAGAGACGCGTGGCGCCGCCGGCCGAGACCAGCAGGCGGGGGTCGCCGGGCGCGATGATGAGGGCGAAGGTGGACAGCCGCAGCAGCTCCAGGCGGTCCTCGCGCGTCCCGCACAGCGCCCACTCGGTGGGCAGGCTGGGCCGCGGCGGGTTCCGGCAGGTGAACTCCACCAGCACCGGGTCCAGCCGGCTGTCCTGCACGGCCTTGAGCGTGGCGATGATGCGGTCATCGTAGTCGGCGGGCGGGCCGCCCTCCACCTCCTCCTCGAAGGAGCGGGCCTCCTGCAGGCTGGAGCGCAGCGACTCCAGCTTCTCGCCCTGGAAGCTGAACAGGTACTTGCGCTTCACGGGCACCTGCGGGGGGATCTCCAGGAAGTTGGGCTCGGCCATGGCGTGCACCAGCGGCGAGAGCACCAGGTCGAAGCCCGGCCGGAACTGGGCGGCGTAGAAGGTGGACTGGGCCACCATGGCCCGCCCGGTGCTGACGTTGTACAGCAGGTTCTGGGTGTGGGAGCGCCGCGCCAGGCTGACCAGGACGTGGTTGCGGCCGTCCGAGCGCCAGTGGGGCAGCGCCTGCAGGCGCCGCTCCAGCTGGGCCGGCCGCAGCTCGGGGGGCTCCCGCAGCTCGCCCACCAGCACCACGTAGAGGCAGGCGATGTCGGCGTTCTCCGTGACGTACACGCTGGCCCGGGCCGCGGCCTGGAAGGCCTGCTTGACCAAGGGGTCCAGGGCACCGCCCCAGCCGGCCTGGTCGCTGTCGTAGACGTAGACGGGGAAGCCGGAGGTGAGCGGGCAGCGCGCGTAGTCGAAGCAGTTGTGCAGCCGGCAGGCGCGGGCGGCCCGGGGCGGCGGCAGGCCCCCGTCGTCCCGCTCGGGCAGCAGGCGGATGGGCAGCGAGAGCTTGGGCTGGTTCTGCGCCATCAGCTCCTTGTAGGAGTGCTCCGTCTGGCTGATGACGTTCTTCAGCTGCAGCAGGTCCTGCTTGGCGTTCTCGATGCTCTTCTTGCAGGCCTCGATCTTGAGGTTGAGCCGGGCGATCTCGCTGTTCAGCTCCTGCCGCTTGGCCTCCAGCTGCAGCAGCTCCTCGCTCACCGACTCGCGGATGCGGCACAGGTCCAGCACGTGCTTCACCTCGCACAGCTCGCCGCCCGCCCGCGGCCCGAAGATGCGCTTGCCCGCCTCGTCGGCCTCGTCCAGCGTGGTGAGGTAGTAGTGGGCGATGAGTGGGAAGCACACCAGCAGCACGAAGAGCGCGAAGCTCAGCCACGTGAGGCGGCTGCGCGTGGAGCACCACAGCATCCACGTGTGGCCCCCGCCGGCCCCGGCCCCGTTCCGCAGCATGGTCGGGGCGTCGCGTGCTCCTCGGCGGGCTCACGTGGGGCCGCCCGCCATCACCGGCACGTGCCGGGGCACCCCGGGCAGGCACTCCTCCTCACGCGCACGCGGCACAGGGCAAGGCGGGGCGGTCATGGTGCCCGGCCGGCGCGGGCATGGTCCCCGAGCCCGTCCCTGCAGCGCCGAGGCCCCGGCCGCCAGCCGCAGCTCATGTCCTTCCTCGTGAGCCGGCGGGACGGGGGACCAGCGGGTGGAGAGACACACGGGAGGGGGACCCTGTGACCGGGCCGACGCCGTCAGCAGCCATCGCCCCCACTCCTGGGCCGGGCCCACCAGCCACACGGCATAGTTACGCTCCGCGGTTCAAGGGCAAGCGTCCACGGGCTCCCAGGGCCACGCTCAAGCCTGCAAGAGAAGAGAGATGGCGTCCGTCAGTCCGGCAGGGACAGCTCGTGCCCTCGTGCCCACAGTGCCAGGAGACAGTGTTGGCTGGGACTCGGGGGAGGGGCAGCAGGGAAGCAGTCACAGACACGGTGTCCCACTGCACTGCTCCCCTTGGGCGTCTCCCAGAGCTAAAGTGAGTCCGTCTGCAGACACACACACACACACACACACACACACACATACACTCAGACACACACTCACACCCTCACACAGACATATGCACAAACACGCCCTCACACAAAGACACACCCTCAGACACACACACCCCCTCATACATCCGCATACACACACTCACACACACCCTCAGAGACATACACATACATTCTCACACTCAGACACACATACTCAGAGACACACATACACACACATACTCACCTAGACAGGCGCAGATGCACACTCATACAGACGCATTCACACAGGCATACACATACCCTCATTCACACAAACCCTCACATACAGACACACCTTCACACGCATACACTCTCTCACACACATGCACAGCACACACACCCTCAGATACACCCTTACACAGACATACACTCACAATTTCACACAGACATACATACAGTCACAAATACACCCACACATACACACACATTAGGCATACTCATACCCTCACACATACACAGCCTTACACAAGACACACATCCTCACACGCAGATACACAGTCATACACAAGCACACCCATTCACTCTCAGACCATACACACGCTCACACACTCACTCACAGGTATGCGAGCCCATGAATGATGGTCCACCACACGCACTGGAGGACAGAGGCTCCTTCTCCCAGCACCTTCAAAGAGAACCTCCTCCCTCTCCAGAGACGAAAGTCTCCTTTTCTTAATTACTTAACAACAAAAAATAAATGCACCAGAGCGGCCAGTTTCGCTCCGTTCAGGGCTGAGGAGGCATCTGGTCTCTCCGCAGCAGAGATGTGGTGACCCAGGGACCTATGAACACTCATTTGCTTCCCCTCCATCTGGGTCTCGTGGCCCTGGTGTGCTTCTGAGTGTATCAGTGGCAGCCTGCCCTTTTAGCAAAGGCACTGACCCAGAAACAGGGGCAGCCTTCCCACACCAGGCATCTGTATGTGACCAGGCCTGACACACTTCCAACTCTCCCACAGGGAGAGCCATGTGGGGGCTACAGGGAAGCAGGAACTGGGGGCTCCGGACCTTCAAGGAAGGCTCCCGGCTTTTGCCAGGCAGACGCCGCCTGCCTTGTCTGCAAACTCAGCCCAGCTGGAGAGTAAGTTTCAGTCTCCAGGGCCAGCGACCACTCTGCTGCCATGCATGGGCCTTCCCGTCCGAGACCCTTGCAGAAGAGCGGGGGTCCGAGGCACAACCTGGGGCTCCTTCTCACGGACACAGGACGTCCTACGTCCTCCTGGGCACTGTGGGACAGGCGGCAGTGACGGTCCCCGCAGTTTCCCGCCCATTAGATTCCAGTGAAAAGTTGATGCCAATGTTCAAAAAGGTCAGGAAAAGCTGTGCCAGACGGACGATCGCCAAGTGTCAAAAAATACTGATGGGCTTATAGCAGCAGATCTAAATTTACACCAGCAGCAGCTGGGCCCAAAGGATAAGGGTCTTAACAGTTTGGGAGCATTTTTCCTTCATTCATCGCTAGGCTCTCTCTCTTCCACCGCCTCCCACCCATTTTCCAAAGAATATTCAGTTCTCTTGGTCTCACCCTAATGGCAAGAGCTGGTTGTGAGGGGGAGGGTGTTTGCGGGGGGGGGGCGGGGGGGGACAGGCAGCCGGGCGGGTCAGTCCCTCCTTACCGAGGCTCCCTCCTTCCTGACGCACAGAACGTTACTCTTCGTGTGTAGTTTCTGGTTGGAGAACAGAAAAGTGGCACAGTTAGAACCAGGCCACAGGTCGAGAGAGAACCACCTGGCCACCCACTGGGATTGGGGAGCCAAAGGGTCTGGGTCAGAGAGACACACGTGGTTGTGAAAAGGGGGGTGGGAACAGACACACACACGGCCCCCAAGCCCACATGGCCCTCTCAGAGACACCACCCGACACCCAACACGGGTGGCTCGGGAATGACTGCCGAGAGAGAATGAGGCAGAAATCTAAAACAGGGCACACCCTTTGAGGTGCGGACCCTCACCTAGCGACAGAGGATGCGAGGGCTGTGGAACTGGCTTTCGAACAAGGAGCAGACAGGTCCAGGTAGGCAGCTGGGGCGGGAGGGGGTAAGGAAGCCCTGAGAGGCAGGTCCATGGCCAGCCTCTCCAACTCCAACATGCACACGCGAGCTGGGCCAAGTCCAGCGGCACTATGCACGCGACCTGGGCCCCACAGCCGGGTGTGTGTGAGACGGAAAGAGACAGAGACAGGGAGAGACACAGAGAGAGAAATTCCAGTCACCAAAACCAAGTGTATGAGTCACACAGCCGTGTGTGTGTGTGTGTGTGTGTGTGTGTGTGTGTGTGTGTAGAAACTGGTCACCACGACACCATGTGTGCTTGTGTGTGTGCGAAAGACAGAGAGAGAGAGAGAGAGAGAGAGAGAGAGCTCTCCTGTCACAACTATGTGCGAGAGAGCGTAAGAGAATGAGAGAGCAAACATGGGTCATCACATCATGGATCATGTGTGAGAGAGATCAGTCACACCACAAACGTGTATGTGCATGTGTGTGTGTGACCTCAGGCCACCCTGACTAGAGGTGCTCTCCCCAGGGAACCCCTCAACCAAGCCTGCTGACCCAGCTCCCACAGGACAACACTGGGGAGGGAATGAGGCAACACGAGGACAGGACAAGATTGCCAGGGTGACCTGGAGGGCTCTGGCAGGCTTGACACATTGCTCAGTGAGCCTCCTAGGGCCAAATTCTTTCATATTAAAGACAAAAAAAATAAACCACTCAATGTCTAAATAAAACATTCTTCAAAGTCCTGGGGAGGGGTGAGAGCCATAGCACAGCGGGTAGGGCATCTGCCTTGCATGCGGCAGACCCGGGTTCAATCCCCGGCATCCCATACGGTCCCCCAGCACCTCCAGGAGTGATTCCTGACTGCAGAGTCAGGAAGGCCTGAGCATCACCGGGTGTGGCCCCCCCCCCCAAAAAAGAAAAGTCCTTGGGAGACCGTTACCTCCCAGTTGTTGCAACTCCAGGAGACCAGTGGCCGGCATGGCTGGGGCAGCCACCCACGGAGCGTCCACTCTAGCGCAGGCACCGGCCTTCCTGTCGCTCCAGAAACCAAACAAAGGGATCTCACAGAGTCTCTGGCTTCACTTCCAGGAGCCGCAGCAGGGGCAGGTTCTGGAGCTACCGCCAGTCAGCTGGGCCCGCGGGCCCTGCTGGTTCCATCCCCGGCATCCCATGGTGACCCCTAGGTGTGAGCCCTGAGCACCGGTTTTTGCTCTAACCCCAAAACCAAAATCATCACCATCATCATCATCATCATCACATCTGAGACCAGGATGCTGACCATCAGGAGGCAGGGCCTAGCCTGCCTGCCCAGACCGTGGGCCAGTGGCCAGCTCTCCTCAGCCCAGGCTCGCTCCATTTCTTCAGACCTCTACGTGACCTCTGTGCTGCTTCACAGACATTCCCTCAGAACGCTCCAGTTCCAAGCTCAGAAGTTTCCACTAATTCCCAGGTGGAACCAGGTGGGACCAGAACGACAAGAGAGCACAGCGAGGAGGGCGACTGCCTGGCACGCGGCAGGCCAGGGTTCGATCCCCAGCAGCCGTTGTAATCCCCTGAGCCTGCCGGGAGTGATGTCTGAGCCAAGCACCAGGAGTGGCCCCTGAGCACCAGTGTGGTGTGACCCTCCTACCCCCCAAAAATTAAAAGGAAAATCAACTATTCAAAGAGTAAATATTTCTCAGCTCTGCGGCCACACGTGCTCCGTGCAAACACTTCCGTTAGCCTCTTCCTTGACACTCAGTTTTCAGAATGTAAAAAACATCGCACTGGGCAGCGTGGATAAGGACACACGTAGTCCGCTCCCGCCCAGGGCTCCCAAGTGACCCTCAGTGTCACCGCAGCTTATCCTGCTCCTGCTTAAGTTCTGGAAAACCTGTGCTGTCCCGAGGGAGGACACGGCCATCGGGGGTTTGTCTCCTCCGGATACCAGCTGTCGCCCCCCACCACAGGATTTGTGGGGAAACCCAGGACCAGAGACCCAGGGACCGAGTTCTTCTCCACAGCGGCCGGACCCTGTCCAGGGCCTCCACGCTCACACTCATGGGGGCCAAGGCCAGGAAAACTCACGTCACCGACCCTGGTCCCAAAGAATCAGAGAATCGTGCATGGGACCCTTCGCCCGACAAGGGCAGAAAGCACTGGAGTTTCACCCAGCTCCCACGGGTAAGGGCGAGGGGCTGGAGCAATAGCACAGCTAGGGTAGGGTGTTTGCCTTACATGCGGCCGACCTGGGTTCGATTCCCAGCATCCCATATGGTCCCCCGAGCACTGCCAAGAATGATTCCTGAGTGCATGAGCCAGGAGTAACCCCTGTGCACTGCCAGGCGTGACCCCAAAAACAAAAGAAAGAAAAAAGGGCGAGGGCTCAAGGCTGGCCAGGTGGGGTCCAGGTGGGGGTCTCGGTCTGACCTTCCCAGCCACCATGCCCCGGGCCCTTTCCCCCCATGAACACACAGTTCCCTCACCACAGGCGCACCCATCTGCCTCTCATTCCCTTCCCCACTGCGGAGTCCTGGCCCTGAGCGGAGCCCGCGGACAGGGAGAACCCAGTCAACACGCGGCCACTCCCACCCTTCCGACATGCCAGTGCTCGCCAGGACTCACCATGGCCACCAAAGCAAACAACAATTTCTTTCTGCAGCTGTCCTTGCATCATGTCTCTTAGACCTCTGGGGGTCCCGGGCTTGGCATCACTCCCGGTGCAACTCGGGAACCCTAGGGGGCGCTCCTCCCCTGCACAATCTCTCCTAGTAACCGCGGAACAGACAGGCCAGTAAGAGCAAGAATGTCTCACCAGGGCTGGGGTTGTTGTTTTGGGGTGCAGGGGACCACACCCGCAGTGCTCAGAGCTTACCCATCTCCCTGCTCAGGGCTTACTCCTGCCTAGTGCTCGGAGCTTACTCCTGACTTAGTGCTCAGCACTTACTTCTATCTCAGTGCTCAGGGCTTACTCCTGTCTCTGTGTTCAGGGCTTATTCCTATCTCAGTGCTCAGGGCTTTCCCCTCTCTCAGTACCCAGGGCTTACTCCTGTCTAGTGCTCAGGGCTTACTTATTCCTGTCTCAGTACTTGGGACTTACTCCTGCCTACTGCTTGGGTCTTACTCCTGCCTAGTGCTTGGGACTTACTCCTGTCTCAGTGCTCAGGGTTTACTCCTATCTCTCTGTTCAGGGCTTACTCCTGTCTCTCTTCAGGATCATTCCTGGAGGTGCAAGGACATGTGGTTCAGGGAATTGAGCCTGGTACCCACCATAGGGGCTGCCCACTGGAGAGCCGATCCTCTCTCTGCCATCCTCAGCAATACCAGGAACCCCCACCTACCCGGGGCCCCAGGCCACACCGCCCCCACCCACTGGCTCCGCGTCGCCCTGCTCTGCCTTCAGGCCCTCCAACATGAAGGTGTCCTTTCGGTACAAGGCAGAGGAGAATAGGTCCAGCTGCCCGACCCCCCCCCCCCCCAACTCCCACCCCCAGCCCCAGCCCTGCCTGGGAAGATGAAAGGAAACAAGACAACAGGGTAAGAAATAAGCAACTCCGACTCCAGGGGCTGGCGCGCGTACACACACACACACACACACACACACACACACACGGGGGGGGGGGGGGGGGGGGGCTTGCCTGGGAGCTGTCAGCACTTCTGGGTGTGATCTAAGCATCTCCAAACTGAAGGGGGTGGGGACAGAAGCAGCAGGAAGGCTTGGGCCGAGGGGTGCTAAGAGGGGTGCTAAGAGGGCACCTCGCCCACGGGCAAGCACGCATGCCAGCCCTAAGAAGAGCTTTTGTTCCTGGAATGTCTCTCTTGCATGGCTGTCACCAGGTAACTTGTTTTGCCAACTTTTTTTCCCTTTGTTTTATTTCTGGGCCACACCCAGGGGTGCTCAGGGGTTCCTCCTGGCCCTGCAACTCAGGAATTACCCCTGGCGGTTGCTCAAGGAACCACAGGGGCTGCAGCGGATAGAATCTGGGTCAGCTGCGTACAAGGCAAACACCCAACCCACAGTGCTACTGGCTCTCCAGTCCCTCAATTTTTCTGTTTTAAAAACTGTCTTTTAAAAAAAAAAAAGCCCCTTGCTCATGGCACTTTCCAGCCAGTTTCCAGATTCTTGTTAACCCAAGTTTGCCCTGCCTGCCGCCTAGATGGTGGCAGGAACCCGCCAGCACCTCCAGCATAGGTAGTGCCACGCTCCCTCCCTCCTCACCTGCACCCCTCAGCTCCACTCCCCTAGGCTTGCTCCACCCTCGACCGCACAGTACTCAGCACAGCCCAGGGCTCAGATCTGAGCCAAGTGCTCCTGCGCTGAATAATTTCTCTGCAGCTTCATGAAAACTTCTCACGGAACGATTTTCCCACCCAGTTTGCAACCCCATCCCCCGTGGCCCGGGAGAACCTCATCACGGCGCCCCGGAAACACTCAGGCATGAGCTCAAAGTCCTGGACTACATCTTCATCCCCAGCCAGGTTTGAACATGGAGACCTTTAGTCGCTGGGACAGGAATCCCCAAGATAAAGGCACCTCCTCGAGGCACACGGGGGACTGGGCGGTCTCACCGCGACCGAACTCAGCTCCCAGGGCTGAGGAACCATCATTTCTCCAAGTCGGGCTGAAACCCTGCGGACCTCGGGCTGACGGGGACGCAGTGGGGAATGCAGGAGGAGGAACGTCCTGCTTCA